TTTACACCTAAACTGAACACTGAACACAAAAACACAGATTGATCTTTCTCATTCTTCCAATCTTTTATATCAATACCAACTACTGAAAATGAAGACTTGTGAAGCCAGTATGAAATACCTTGCTTTTATCCATAAGAAATCTAATTTCTAGGTGTCTATATTGTTATTGAATCTTTTTATTGCTTGTGCTGCTGCTACTGTACTTGCAAATCCTATTCTTGTTATTATCTGGAAATATGAGAATTGTACTGACTATACCAGTGAATATATCATATTTGTGTGATTGTAAATTAGGAAGAGCAGTGCTCCTGTGGTACCCCACTAATGACCTCTCTCCAGTTTTAGGTAGCTTCACTTAACTATATCCTTCTTTATCTGCGTATAAACCACTTAAAACATTTTTTTTAGTTACGGGCATACATTAAATTGGATTCCTATATTTTATTTTGAGAATCAGTCACTTTCTGTGTCCCCTTCCTTAAAACATCCTGAGAATCCAGATATATTATACAGTGTTATACACCCTAGAGGTATCTATTACTTTAGTCACCTGATAAAAAAAACATATAATTACTTTGGCAAGTTCTACCACTTCTTCAGTGCCTCATTAATTTAAAAAGTATCTTATAACATGAAGCTGGGTTGTATTTGTATCATACAGTTCCTAGTGGGTTTGGGGAATACTTTTTCTTCATTAAAAACATTTCCCTTTTATATAATCCTTTTTAAAGGTAGAAATGTGAAATTTTAGAACTTTGGTCGCTTTCATTTTCAGTAATTGCAGACTTTGAATGACTAATTGAAAGGTTTTAAGTTTAAATGCAAGATTCATTTGGCTTCAAGCTATTGCATTGTTCCATCTTTCCATATATGGATATTCTTTTTTCACAACAGTCTTATAATTAGGATAAACACATGATTCTTTGTCCCCCCCATGATATCCAGTTTTAAACCTAACCCAAAATCATGTTTTTTTTTTCATTGTCTGACTGTTCACATGGTCCAATCATCGGTATTAGATGTTCATTGCACACAAGCATTAAGTATACAAATTGCACATAAGCTGATTTTCATCTCAGCAAAGGCGTCATACTAAATTTACAGTTTCAAAATCCTGTGTCAAAGCATCAAGTTGAACATTATCATATGGTCATTCTACTTATAATGCATTACGTAGACAAACATTGCTTTCATATTGTCTACACAATGTTAGTAAAAATACTAAAAAATATTAATGATATATATAGAATATATTGCCTCTTGTTAGACTCTTATATTTAAATTATAAGTAAGGAATCTCTTACAATATATTTTGAAAAAATACATAAACAACAATGTATTGTTAGGAATATAGAGAAATACTATTGTTTCCCAGGCAGATGCTGATAAATCAGAGAAGCATTTGTCCTTTGTGTAGGAGGAAAATAATAGATTAGCAAAGCAATATGCACCATCCAGATACTAAGAGTCTCATTAAAAATGATTATTTGTGTGGAGTCATTTAAATAACTAAAATTATGTATTGTATCTTTATAACAAAACAAACATATTCATATAATGCATCAATAATTGCCTTGGTTTTCAATTCAGTACTAACAAAATGAACCAAATACATTGTAATCTAAAAATTTTGGCTGAGAAGAGTCTTATTGTTTTAAGATAGAAATTGTTTTTTCTTAAATTAAAAAGAACAGTAAATGTGAGAAGAAGTTTAATTAAAGCAATACAAAACCACCGTGTATATAATTAGGTATTCATATCTGCATATCTAATAGAAAGTAAGTTTGTATCTACAGTAAAGGCTGTTAATGTCAGGACATTGTATTGGTCAAAGTACACTTGCTGTATTTTTATTCTTTTCCTAAATACCACTTTACATGAAAGTGCAAAATCTTAGAAACTTTTGATTCTTTTGAATCGTTGATTCTTTGACCACAGCTAATAATAATGTATAGTCACATTTCTAAACACTTCACTACAAAACACAGGCCATGAACTTTAGTGTAAAATTTCCATTATTTTTCTGCAAACAGAACTTTCCTGTAGAGATACCCTTTGAAGTACTTCAACAGTGCATGCAGAAAGCGTATTGGCATGATCATGTAAGCAATAATTACATAAATTGTCCTTTTCAACTAGGCAAAGGAGGTAGGACAGTGATATTTGTGACTTAAGAAGAACATACTGTCTCACAGTTTTTAGACTGTACTGCCATCTGTTGGATTGTATTTAATAATGGCTACATTATTAAAGAGAAGATGCACATTCTCAGCAATCTTTAATCATATCTTTAAAGATTGCTGAGAATGTGATTCATTTCTTTGCATGTCAAAACTATTAACTGGGTTAAGTCATCGTATCACTTAAGCATTAACTGTTGCCATTGCCAAAGGATTCCAAAAGAATGTTGCTGTTCACTCATACTGTACATGTAAACTTTTATCACCAGCTCTGAAGAAATGAGGCCCTTGTCTATCTCAGGGTTAGCTGTCAGAGGTAATATAGTAAAAGAAATAAGGACACAAACAAAAGAGAAAATGAAACACAAAAAAAGACACTGTACAGAAAATCAAATTCAAAGAATGTTTATATGAGCCAGACCACATATTAAGCTACATATAGAAAGTCTGAAAGGGAGAAAGGCAGACAAACAGATGGCTTTTTAAGAGCATCCAGTCAATATGAATTATGGGGCAAAGTCAATGAATAACATTTGGGAGATGGAATAATTGTGTGGTTTTTTTTTTTCTTCATATTTTATGGTTTTGTGCTTGATTTACAAACATTTACTTTGATACTGCTTTCATCTATTATTATTGTTAAGAAATTTGTGTTTAATGGTTTCTAGTTGATTAAAGTTTGTATTTGTTCAGAAGTGTTCTTTGCTTTTAAAAAAGAAAATAAAAAGGAAATGACCTTTCCATTTCTGCCTATATGATATATAACAAGTAAAAGAAGCCACAGATAGAAGCAATTCATCTTACGACATTCTCCCATGTCTTGTGATACAGCAAAAGTTAATTAATATGCATGCCCATATTAAGTATATTTATACTGGAATGTGTAAATTACTTCATTTTTAAAAATGTTGACTTTTACTTTCTATAATTTACCTGAAGTGAATGTGTCCCAATATCTATGGTTACATGATATTACTGGGCTTAAAACAAAGTATGTTCTTGTTCTCATTTTATTAAATGTATTCATGGAATTACTCAATATATATATATTATGTCATTCTTATCATCCATATTAATCATGATCACAACTATTAATTGCTTGACTATAAAATGAAAATAACAGTTTTGATTTTGCTGTCCCAATAACATTTGGAGGCAACTGTAAATAGGTATTTGCCCCCTGGATTAACACCATTTTTATAGTAATTATTATGTAGAATAACTGCATTATTTTATTTTTTCAATGTATGCTTGTGGGATTTAGTGTGGTTGTACACACACTAACCTTACTGTCCTTGCCTTGACATCATTTTAAGTATGATAAACACCAAGTTAAAGGACAGCCTCCTCAGTGTTTAAGAGTCTGTACAAGTGTGTCCTTGTATAGTGCAAAGTGGGGAATAAATCAATATTTGCACCATTTATCATCTTAAACCATGGCCTTTTAAAACTTGTTTAAAAAACAACAACAGTACATTCAAATTTCCTTTACCCATTTTGTATAAATTGGTCTGTTGGTCTGAGGAATAATTCCAAGGTTATTCTGAGTATTCTTGTTTTCTTCACTCATGGCCTTTAACACTCATTCTAGGCCATAACACATAAGAACCACATTGCAGCCACAGTCTGTTGCACTTGGGTAGTTTCTAATGTTCAGACATTGATTTAATTCTTTATTGAGTCTTTTTCCACAACAACATTAAACTGTCTCATTTAGTGCTCCTATTGATATTTGTGCAGAACAATCCAGAAGCCTGTGCTCAGTCCAGTGTTGCGTTGAATTCTCCATTCTCTACTGACCTTTTAAAGGGATACTGAATGAACCTTGAACAATACAGAGGGGCCAACAGGTATAATATAATTCCATATTTATAGTCTACATCACTGGTTCTCGAGCCTGCCCATTAAGAACCAGGCACATATATTTTTTTTAAATATTTACAATATATGACTACAAATGCATAAAGACCAAAGTTCATAACTACACTCACTCTGAATGTCCAGTGCTAATTGATTACTTTAACCAATCTTCTTGCTTTTTTAGACTTCTGGTTAACTTGTTTTTGCACTCCTAAATTAAAAAAAAAAACACATTCAGGATACCTTTCCATGTTACTCAGCATACATAACTTTAAATAGCTAAATAGCCTCTCCTCAGCTTTCTTACACTTATAAGCTGAACAGGTCTTCATAGGTGAGCAATTGACAAGTCAATACCTGGGAGATAGCTGTGAACAGTCAGGTGGGAATGAAAATGTAGCGGGCAATCCCACAGTGAGCTTTAATTTTCCTTATAATTGCTTACACAGGCAGCAATCGTGAATGAGAGTACATCTGAAAGCTATCACAATTTATTTTTATTTGCGTAAAACAAAACAAAATAAACAAATACGTTACAAATAATAAATGAAATCATTTTTTGAATCAGCGTATCAACTCAGTTTAAGTAAACTCAAAAGACACAGTGGCTGGGAACCACTGTATTAACAGCCGACACAGTAGTTTCATCTACGTGATAGTGCAGAAAATACAACGCCGGTAGCAAATAACAGAATACATGAGCTAACGTGAAAAAGGGATGTTTCATAGTCTAAGAGTTAAATGAATACGGAAGTAGTTCTGTTTGTTTCTAAAAGTACTTAAATCGCAGCACAAACATGTATATCACACTTATAAGTTATATACGCACCCATCACAAATACACCACCCTCCTCCAAACTGAGAGAGTGCGTCATTGTGTCATCTGATGACCGGATATGCGGTCATGGTTTTTCGAGTTTCCGGGTTCTTTCCCACCAATTAGCGACTGAGGTTCAGAATTTGAACGTAAATGTGTGGTTCAGCTTTCGGTGAAGAAGTAAAAGGAATAAGATAAAGCGTTCTTTTTACTCTCTTTTACCGGTGATCTTAACGTGTTGGAAGTTTGAAAGGTAGGAGATTTATTTAAAACATGTAGCTAGATCAATAAGAGAAAACTAGGAAAAAAGGGTGAGTCGTAACAGCTTGTTTTTGTTGGAGTGTGCTAGCCGTTTGTTGTGTTTTCTGTCGTGTTGGATCCAGCCATGTAATATAAACACGAGAGCTACGTAATGTTTCTGAATTGATATTAACTACAATTGCATGTTCTCAAAAGCTTCTTAAGGCCTTTAGTTTCATTAATCTTGTAGTGTGGACACGGACCTCTAACATTTTCTTTCTGCTGAAATGATCCTTTTAACTCATTGAAATTACAATTCACTAAATATAATGCAGTGCTAATAACTTATCATGCTGGGGCGAGTACAGTAACGTATGGTTCCTCTCTAGGTATTATTTATTCATATTTGTATTACACGATAAGGTAGCAATATATATTGGCGAAATGCTGTTACGTTGTGCATTCAGTATCGGTTGTTTTTCAGTCAATTACGTGTTACAACCTAAAGTGTTGACTTAATTTAAGGATCTGTGTGTGGTTATCTTAAAGACTACAAAGGGGGGGCATTAAGGCGATATGCACTCGGTCTTTGTTTATTGTAGTTGATTTTGCAGAAATATCGGTGATTTTTTGTTGTTGTTGCATTCCAGGCATGTTGCATATGTAATGATTCTACCACACAGCTTCATTACTAACATTAGAGCGATGCTAACGTTTTTACAATATTGCAAGTTAATACAAGTTATTGTTATACTTTTTTTCTCATATAAAAGCGCAGTGCCCTCGAGATTTATTTAAAACCTAAGCGAAATAGGAACAAAAAAAAACAAAACAATGACTTACTGATGCCTTTATTAAAACGCTTGTAAAAATGTCATGTTGTAACTCACACCTGTAAGTATTGTTAAATAAAACCCAATAAAAATAAGATGTGCATGTGCCTGTAAAGTGCAAAGGAAGGAGCCAGATCTATACAGAAGCCTCCGAAGGTTTCCTGTTTCCCCGCGGTATTAAAAAGGAGAAATGTACAGAAGACCTCTAGTAATAGTATGATCATGTATCAGAGCTCTCCAAAACCTGCAGGCAAATGGTCAGTGATCTCTACAAGTTAGGGTATGGCCTATACATGTATAAAAATTTAATCTCTCACTTTGTAGTGTACATTCTAAAAAAAAACCCATTAAGGCCATTAAAAGTATTTTGTTTTGGGGTTGTTTTGTGTATGTGGATCCTGGGCTTGGAGAGTCATCCACTTGTACATGTAGCATGACATGTTGGTCACACACCTGGTTTCTCTGCCACAAATCTCAAGCTTGCCCAAAAAATGGACATCCTAACATTAAAATGATCCAAAGCCAGCATTCACATTGTGGTAGAAAAGCCGTTAGGCTAACGGCCATTCAAGAAGACTAAAAATTTTAGGTGCAATCTCAATCTCCATACCTCAGTCCAATTGAACATTTGTGATATGAACTCAAGAATGCAGCTCACAAATGGAAACCATAGAGGACGAAGAACCTTGAGCATTTCTATTTGGATAAGTTGTAAGAAATATTTCTCATAAATTCTTACTGTATCTGTGCAGTGCAATTATGATTACAGTATGACATTTTTTCAGCATGACCTGATATCCAATCTGTAAAACTGTCATATGATGTTTTTGTTTCCATATCATTAGAGATATTAATAAATCCAAAGGGCAGTGTATATTAATTTACCCTAGTTTAGAATATATACATATATTAGCATGTATTGATATAGGGAATTTAGAGTTGTATTTTTTTATTTTAACATTTTTTTTGGGGGGGAGTCTCTTTTTTCTGTAGGTCGTTTACTACTAACTGAAATTCATCATTTTTAATTTAGTTTCCTAAGTCAGAGACTTCTCAGATACGTTTCATGGGTGGATTTAAATTTGAGTTGTGTGAATAATCAAAGTATGATGGATCCCTTACCTCATTTGGAAACTAAACCGTTGTTCAAATCATTACGTGTACATTATTGTACATCAAGTTCTGATTTGTATAATGATCTAAATACCCTTTTTACCTTAGAGCCTTGTTGGGGATAAGACAGGACACTGTGAGGCACTGGGAATCCTTCTGTGCTAATTAGTGAATATTTAAGCTATCCTGTTCTGCCTATGAGGGGGTTCTACACAGCAGTGAAACTTTCCCAATGAATAATAACACATGATCTCAGCTGAAAAATGAGGCGTGTATTACTTAAACTAATTTATGTTCTCTCTTCCAAATTTGCAGTTCTAACATGCCTAGAGAGAGGGTCCAGAAGAAGTCCTTCCAGCAAAGCCTGGAGGACATCAAGGACAAGATGAAAGAGAAAAGAAATAAAAGACTTGCAAGTGCCTGTACCAAAAACAAGGGCTTAACAACAGCGAATAGTATTAGTAAGATGCATACTATTCTATGTCTGATTATCATGTTGCATAGATGTGGAAACTAACATGTAAAGCTTTTCTAGGATTCTACTAAAAGTTTTGAAGATGCTAATGTCACCCATTAAAACAGTATTCTTTGTTTGGCATATGGTAAAAGTGGTGTGCTTGTAAATATATTTAATTTTCTCATATATTCAATATACTGGCAAAGAATGTGTTGATTTACATTTGATGTTTTTTTTTGCAGATGCTTCTACATTTATCTTAAAAAATGTTCAGATTAAAAACAAGGCATTGGCCCTGGCCCTTCAAGCGGAGAAAGAAAAAGGGAGACAGTATCAGTGTATCATTTTACAGTTGAAGAAAGAGTACCAAGCTCTGATGTTTCATGTATTCACATTGAAAAGAGAACTCGGCAAGTATGAAGCACAGAGCAGTACAAGGGTATGTCTGATAATTACTGTAAAAAAAATATATAGATGAGTTCATAGAACTATTTGCAACATTGATTACAGTACTTAATCGGAGCTTCAGAATGTTGTTTTGTAAAGCATGTTATAATTTCATAATGCTAAATCTCCTCATTCCACTTCAGTTGGAATTAAGTTTTATGCAAGGTCTGTGGGGTGCCAAAAACTCAAAGGTCTGACCCTAACCCAAACCCGGATAATATATAACAGTATAAAAGTTTTTGCCATTAGCTACTGTTTGTACTGACTTTTTGACTGCAAGTTGGTTGCCTTCTTTTAATATGTAACTTAAAGTGTGTGTATATATATATACACACACACACCTTGTCAATTCTGAATTGCCAGTTGTTTTAAGATGACCCCCTGTACCTTCTCAGGAAATAATGAAACGTTGGCATGCTCCAGATATTTTTTGAAGTGAAAAAAGTTTTATTTCACAAGTAATCACGCCATGTTTATCTTTCAACAACACATTTTTTAGAGTTTTGTGGATCCAAAGGTTTATCCTGCTGCAGATATTCCAGTTAGGTAAGCTCATCAAAGTATCTATAGTCATCTGAGTTAAATAAAAACTGTTCTAAATCACAAACCAAGAAAGAAAATGAAATTTAATTAATATTGAAAACAAAGTATTTATGACAAACTATACATTGTTTTAAAATGTCACTGTAATAACTATAGCTTGATTTGTACTTTTTTAAATACATTGTGAATATTACTCTAATATGGTGCCTTGTGTATCGATTATAGTGCTTCTGTTTTGTCTGATAAATATCCTTAAAGTTTTCCTGATATAGGGTAATGTTAAGAGTTTATATTTAATATAATATAAACTTATATTATATTTACATCTTACACATTCTTAAAAAAAATCTTGAACAAATTTTGAGCAAAGAAAACCAATGATTCTTTTTTGGGGGGGGATTTTTCTGTACCCTACAATATGTTTTACTTGAAGTGGAATATTCTGTATTAAACAATGTGAAGCTTGTTTTTGTTTTAGAGCTAGTCCCATCTGCACTGCCGATACCAACCTTAATAAAGGACAAACTAACGTTGATGAATTACGAATTGCTCAGTCTTGCCCTTCAAGCAGAGGTATGCAATTTAAAAATGTAGAACTTATTAGGTTTCCATATTTTATATTTATAAAAATACATCAAACTTTCAAAATAAATTTCTTTCAATCACAGAATCAACAAAAGGAGGGCAGAAGCTTGATGAAAACAAAGAGGAGAACCTTTGGCTCGATAATGTTTTGCCAAGAACTGTGACAGCGAGACGGCGAGAAGACCATAGAAGACTGCCATCTGTTAGCGTAGATTCTTGCTCTAATGAAGACAAAGATGTGACCGTTTCTCCTCAAGTTAAAATAGCAAATGAAAACAAATCAGACAGTAGCGAAAAGGTGTTTGTGAAATCACAAAATCAGGAGAAAAGGGCAAAACCATTGCATAGAGACTTGGAAACTTTGCCTGCTTGTATCCACGATGTCAAAAGTTCAACGCCTGAGCCTCCAGGCAAGACTCCTTCAGCACAGAAAAAGGATATTGAGACTAAGACTGAAAAGACAAAGAAAGACAAACATGAGAAAGTCACATTGAAAAGGGAAAATAATCCCAGAGCAAGATCAAAAAGTAGAGAGCGTCCACAATCGAAACAGAGACCTGTTTCCAATGAGCAATTTAATGTATCGCTGGGTTCAAATGATGCTTTTGATTTTAACTGTGAAGAAAGTATACATGTCACACCTTTCAGGGCCACTTACAAGCAGAATCGGACTGATGGGGACATGCTTTCTGTAGATGCCTGCCCAGTTTCTACTTGTGGGAGTAATACAGATCCTGACAGTAGCATATCTATGGATCTGGATGACAGTCTTTATGAACCTAAGAAGTCTAAACAAAATGAGGTGACACCACCCCGAAGATCCAGGTCAAAAAGGAGCTCTGTTCTGCAGTCAAATAAAAAATTTGAAAAAAATGTTAACATTGAACCAAAAAGAGTGTGCATCACAGGTAAGAATGTGAAAACTTTTTGTTGTTGTTTTTGTTGTTGAAAGTATATTCAACATAAGTGTAACTTTTTTTGTTTCACCACATTAGCATCTAGAGGATATAATGGCACGAAAGAAACAACAGCAGATGGTAATCTGGAGGTTAAGAATGGGACTGTGGATACTGTGAACACTAAAAGAAATCTAGGTAATTATGGTCTTTTACTGCATGTGTAATATGAGCTTTCATTTTTTCCTTTGTATTTGTTTTCACAGAGAACTGCTGCAATAGTTTAAATGCTGGTTCAATGGTTCTTATTTGTTTAAGGGCTCACTTTGAGAACTACTGCAATGATTATATGAGCAAATGTTTATTTAAGAAGAAAGTACTTGTTTCATGCTAATGAAGGACTGTTGAAAATTTAAAACCAGTGAAAACAAATCAGTATAAGTTACTGCCTCCATGCTCTTTCTATAGACTTCCTTAACTGGGGCGGGTTGTGATGGCCGAACTATTAATGAAGGCTTAAGGCAGGCTGTTAGCAGTCTCCCTGACACATTGGTGCACAGTACTGTGATGCTGCCTCCAGAGATAAAATGAAATTAGGTCTCAGTTGTTCATAAACATTTATGAATGGATTGTCTGCATTTCAATTGAAAACAAAATGTTTAAATTTTGATATTTTAAGTATAGGTGTCTTCTACATTTAAAAAAGTCAACAAATGGACTAATGTAATGAATAGTTTCCATTTCTAATCATTCAGAGTGAACTGACTTCTTCAGCACTATAGTACTATGTTGATGTTTTTCCCCAAAAAATATTCCTGTTAGTTATATATAAAAGGAAAATATTTTTCGACAAGCATTAAACATCTTTAAAGGTTCAGAAAGTTTATGAAAGTTTGTATTTGCTGATTAGTTAAAATGGATGGAATTGTTTTTGTGAGAAGAGTACTAATTTGATTTTTCATCACTCTAAACTGCTTATAAAACTTACCATAAATCTTTAAGACCTGTTAACTTTTTGAAGGTTTATTTTTAACAGGTCCGTCCATTAACCCACCACCCTGTCGATTCAGGCTTAGTGATGTGACAAATATTTCTTCTGCAGCCTGTGCAAAGGAATTTCAGGTGTATTCCAACGATTCACTGCAGCCTTCTAACTCGGAGACGTCGGGCTATCCTGCTCATAAACGTCGCTGCACCATTAGTATTAACTACAAGGAGCCAACTCTAAATGTGTAAGATTACTTTATTAATTTTAAAGCAATTTGAAAACATACAACTGGTTTATATTTCATTTGTAATTATATGGACATGCAATTTTCTTTTCATTCAATGAGAACTTTAATTCTAACTAGCTGTTTGATATCGAAAGTGATATATGAATTAAGTTACCATGGTATAACTATTTTAATCTGCTTTTGTAACTGGAAATTAATTGTTTCTATATTTTTTTTAAGGAAACTTCGTAGAGGAGACCGATTCACAGATACCAATTTTTTAAGGTCACCAGTCTTCAAGCAGAAGAAGAGGAAGACAAAATCTATGGAAAATCAAACACTTGAGAAACGCAGCCCTTTATCACCCGTCTCTAAAAAAGTACTAGCATATGCTAGTTAGTCAAGTGAATTTGTTTTAAATACAAATCAAATTTGCTGTACAAGTAGGGAAAACCTTATTTTATAAGGTTTATAATATGCAGTTCCCTATATATAAACATTTCTCTTTGCACATCCATACACTTGCCTTCACAAAGCTGATAATACCATTGTAATAAAACTTACCTTTTTATGGAGCCATTACTCACTTGGTCCCTGTTATTGTTTCCTTCTTGCACCTAGCCACAAACTTTTGTGAAAGAAGCTCTTTGCAGCTGGAAATCCAGTAATGACAATGAGCACCAAATGGCAGAACAGAAATTGTTTCAGGACCAGTATATATCATTCTGTAGGGCCTCTATAACAACGTAAACTTGGAAGTGTATAGATGTGCAATGTACTTCTAAAATTGCTGAACCATTCTCATGTTATTGTTGGACTTGTATTTTGCACAACAGATTCCTGCTTTCTTTTTTAACATCCAAGTTTTCATAATGCTTTTTATCTTCACATTTGCAAGGCATCTTTGTCAAGGTATAACTTGTTATAGGTTTTAAATGTTTGTGACTATCCAGTCTCTTCTGAGCTTTTTATGTTTTTTTAAATAAAATGTAAAAATTTGTAAGTTGATCAACTTCATTTTGATTTTGTACAATACTGAAACCATCCTTAAAAAAATTGAATGATAATGTCATTAAGATGTTAAAGGGTGATGCTTTAGTTTTTATCATAACATAAGAAGGTATGCTTGGTTCCACTTGTGAAGTTGGCGATCTATACTGTATTGTACTTTTTTGTGCCTAGATATACCACTTTAAATATTAGTAATGTAAAAATAATGTGCATAGACGACGTACATTGAGATCCTTAAAAAATCAATTCCAGTTTTCAAGAAGTTGTCAGGTTACAAAGAAGAGGAAGCTGACAGGGAATCTCGTCCGGCAGCTTAATGAGTGAAAGTTATGTGCATAGTCTGATTCAAGAATATATCTGTTGTTCCACACTTACAACCTTTTTTTCTTAAAGTACCTCCATTCTTAGTTTTAATGTACTTACCAATATTTACCACTTGTGTAATGGTTTGTTTTTCACAGTTGATTCTGAAGACATTGAGAGGATTGGCTTTTTTGATAGCTGAGAATTTTGGACATGCATGAGGCCCCTTAGGGACTTTTATTTAAGATTGAAAAGGTAACTTCTTTTAGGCTTAAAGGAATATCTTAGATTTGTGAAAAGTACTAGAACTATAATCAATGGGCTGAGAAGGACAATGTTATATAAGTATAAATTAAATGCTATTGGTGAATAAGTTGGTGAATGATTCCTTTTTTTAACAGTTGCCTAAGAAAATCTAAGAGTAAGAGTTATTGTACGCCTTCAAAAAAAGTTATCTTTATAATTCTGAATACAGGAGGAATTTTTTAAAGAATTGTATTAAATTGATTTGTAATGTATTTTATGCACTTAATGGGGGAGGGACTGCTTATTACTTATAAGAAAAAGGTGGCATTTTAAGTTTTTCTACATCCACTCTTAATAAGCAGGTTTTGCCATTTTAAATTTAAGGAATTTTAGGCATCCAGTCCCATCACAGTTGGAACAATCCTCTAATATTCACCTATTACTATTTATTAGTGAGTGGTTATAAGAGATCTTCCACTTTGTCTATGCAATTCTGTAACGGGATTTGCAGGGGAAATATACTCAAGGAAAAAAGAAATGCAACACCTCCTCCGTGCTCTGGCCCTCCCATATCTGTGAAGAGGACCTGATGCCACTGCTGATGAGTCCATTGTAGCCACTGTCTGGCCGAAGCCAATTGGGTATGATGTCTAGGAGGTTTGAGCAAAGGGCCTCTGACAGGTTGCCTTGCTCGGAGCACGGAGCCTCACTGTCCTGTCACTGATGAGGGCGTTGTCAGCTGGCAGTTCTAGCAGCAGTTAGGGTGGCAGGTCTGAAACGATCTCTCATATGGACCAGTCTGATGTGTCGGTTCTGCTCTGTTGTGGTCACTCGAGGGCGACCGGATCTTGGGTGGTCATCTGTCCTGCCGGTCTGTCGAAACTTTCTTTGCATTCGGGGCACAGTGGAGCAGCTTACTCCATAGTGTCTGACAATGCTGGCACATGACATGCCTGCAGCATGCCAATGGCCTTCTGCTTTGCTTCTGGTGACATTTGAGGCATTATGGAATGCACAGAAAACTAAGTGTGGCCTTTTTCTTGTTTTGACCTAACACCTGAGCTTTGAATTAAGGCCTTTTTAAAGGTGACCTGATCAGGCATTGTTCTATCTGGACTTCGTTGGGTAAACGTGCACCTAATGAGCTTTTATGTGATTGGCAAGTTGCAGTGCTTTACTGCACAAGTTGTATTGCTGGTCAGAGGGCTTAAGTTGACAACTTTTTGTGACAGTACATAAGCTATAACTATAGTATTCTCATTCCAGAAAATGTGTTTCTTTTTTTTCTCCATCAGTATGCATTTACAGCATCAAAGGCATTATAAAATGCTTTCATTTCTAAAAGCATAGTTATGCAGTAATGTTAATACCATTTCCCTCCAAACTAAAGAAATGCAATACTGCACCTCTAATACTGCTGGAAAAATGTCTTGCATATTTACTGTAAATACATACATTATGGAACATCTTGTAAGAAGATGGGCACACTTGGTACATCAACAGAAACTGAAACCTAACTCTAGTAACAGCCAAAATGAGGATTGTGTCTTGAAAGAAATACTGAGAACTTTGTCTACTATGGAAGGGAATGAAAAGTGCTATCTCTCAAAAACTCTATGAAGAAACATACTGTATGTAGACATAATAGTGCATTAAAAATACTAAGAAACTTGAAAGAAATATACTTGGCCAGAATTTATTTTTGACTTGTTCTATTTTAATTATTCTAGAAAATATGCAAAAGAATTTTTAAAGCAAAAGTAGAAAGGTCTTAAAATATTTTTTCACATATTACAAAATCCAGATTTTGCTAAATATTTAAAAATACAAACATTTTACAAAACGAAACTACTCATTATTGCACATTTTTATCAAAATACAAATGTCAATAGTCTTTTGTAGGGGAGACATTAAGACAGACAATAAATTAAGACCTTTTCTTTAAAGATATACTAACAACCCTTGAAATAACATCACATAAATAATTATTTTCTACATAAATTAAGCAATAAGCGTGCATTAGGTTTCCTTTTCCTTGTTAAAACACAAAACATTCGGAAAATGCTCTTATTTCCTAATATTTGCATATGTGCTTTAAATAAGTGCATTTCTTATTTGAGTTCCAGACTTTGTGGAACTACTATGGGAAACATATTATATATAATTAAATTAAAAACATAGTTCAGGGTAAAAATTCTGAAAGATACCACTCCTTGAAAAAAAAGGCTGCATTCTGAATTGACTACTCCCCCAGAAAAACCTTATGAAATAGTTCTTGACAGGATGGAATATTAAAAAACATACAAGACCCAGACCAGTACATACATCTACAGGATACTCTCTGGTACTGTACAAAGACACCATGAAGTCATGCACAAATGGTTATATAAAAATTGTGTTCCTGGACCTGTTGTGTCTCCTACTGGCTAGAAGTAGACAAAAATCCCATTAATAATCTTTCAGATTTTCAGAAAAAGTAAGTTCTGTTACTCTGGAGTGTTTTTTTCTGCTAGTGATATTTACCTGAGTAAACAGAGTAACCTAATAAGAATGTACCTTTTGCCTTATACCTGCAAACTTACTTTTCAATTAAACCAGCTTCTTTAATTTTAGTGTAGAAGAATTTCTCCAGTAAGTTAGCACACTTGTAATATTCACTCTCTGGTAGGTTATATTTCCTGCAGTTAGTGAAGATCCTCTGCATGTCAGCCATAAACAGCTTTTTCGTTGTGTAGTATCGGTTTTTAAGACGTTCACTCATTGTCTTCAGATCTGTAGAGCAATCGGATTATAGACTGTTAATCGTATGCACACGAGAATTTTTAAAGAATACAATCCTCAAAAGGTACATACCCATTGGAAAGCGTATCACTTGATAGTATCCAGGAGCTTCCGTTTTCTTGACTGGCTCCATGAAAGGCCATGCATTTTGGTGACCCTATGAAAACAGTCATATATTTTAATCTGACTTTGTAACTGGAAATTAATTGTTTATAATTTCTTCAGGAAACTTCGTAGAGGAGACCGATTCACAGATACTGTACCTATTTTTTAAGGTCACCATCAGAATGTCATACAACAGTCTGTAACTTACACTACAATGAACCATCTTACATACAAAAACTGTAATTTAGCATAATGTAAGCACAATGTATATCGCTAAATCAATAAAATGAGATGTGCTTTTACTATCAGAATGTTCTTTATCAGTCTCCGCCTTTACCATCACAAAGTCCTACAACAGTTTGCACCTTCACTATCAGAACATCACACATCAGTCTGCGACCTTTACCATGCAAGGAATTTTTTTACTCACCTTTACATGTTGCAGGATACTTTTCAAGATACTGTAAAGCTGATCAGGGTCCTTAAGCTCCTTCCTAAAATTTCAGATATTAATATTATTGCTGAATATAATGAATATCTTTACTCCACCTATAATTATAGTGGTGTACCAGAAATCTAATGCATATACTGTAGAATGTATGTTTCTTGCATTCTTGTTTAACATTTTACTTTGTATTGGTGTTTCATATACACTGGTTGTTTGAACACACAAAAGAAGTGATATATTCAGATTGTAAATAATGAAATACCTTTTTTCAACCATGGAAGTTTAATGGACTTTCTTCTGAAAGCTTTCTGGCTGATGCACCATTTTTATTAAATAAAATAATATTATGAAATATATCAGTGAATGAAATACAAAACACACTGATGCAAAATACATACCCTTTACCAGCAGGTTTCCATCCAGTTTCCCCTATGAGAGGTAAGGGCAAGTCATGTTAGTGCGTTTTGAAAGGAAAGAGTAGTGTGAAATGTACATACAGAAACTGTAATTTAGCAGAATGTCAAAAATCTATAAATTGAAATTACAGTACAAGCCCTTTTGGTTAAACAAATGACTGATAAAGTGATGGTTATTCTACTCACTAGTGATTTCATAAACGAATATGTAGTAATGTGTAATAACCACACAGATATGCAAAAATATTTATGCAGATTTAAAGTCTCAGATAACACAATTTGATTTACAATTCACCCACAATGTTAAAATAGTACTAAGATAAATATTAAAAAGGGGTCTTGGAGTTCATGAGATAATAGCTGATTTTAATGACTAATTAAAATAACCATGCATTACTTGTTTATTGTTTTTTACAAGTCATACATTTATGTTTTGTCTGAAATGTTGGACCATTAGCAATATAATGGAAACCATTACCACAATATGTGTAAAATGTTTTGGGCTTTTGTAACCCTTATTTGATAGTTTTTACTACTGAGCATTCATAGAAAAATATCTCACATCTTAGCTTGAATGGGATTAATGGATTTGACCTTTGCCTTGAACCAGATACTGTACCTACTCTGTCCATGAACCACAAAACTCTCTAGTGCTGGAAACCTTATCTTAATGTGGGTAACACAACAAAGGTTCACTGATAAGCACTTGTTGTGAGATTGTTGGTTCTTAAATGTTGTTTTTCTCTAATTGTCTACTGGAATAATAAGAAAATAGGTTATTAGGTATTTTCAAAAACATTTGAGCTAGAAGATGTGTTAGCATGCAAGCTGCAAAGGAATTGTAGAGGTTAATTTCCATGGTGAAAAACAGAATGTGAGAAAACACATTCTTTTGTGTTTTGTCCACTTTCTACAGTATATACTACCTCTCTCAGCATCAAGGACTCTACTGTTACTATGAGGTATCAGTTGCTTTTACATTTGTATAATTATACATTTAAGCTAAATATCACATAGATGAAAACCTTAATAACATACTTATTCCAGGAATGCTTTCAATAGGGATCTGCCGAACGCCTTCCTTAAAACAGGAAAGCCCAGGGTAAACCTTTCGGATCTGAGCTTGTTTCCTTTCAATCAACTTCTTAATTATCTGTAAAGAAAAAAAATTAGGTATACATATTAAAAGGGCCCTGTAAACAGGCACATTACTTCATATCTTTCCAGGAAGATTACAGTCAGTACAAGAAGGAGAAATGATCTTGTGAACAACGTGGGAGGACAGGTGCTATGACGAACCCAAGAAGACACGACAAAAGCAGTGACACGCAAGGCATGTTGGGTAGGACCCTGAGTAAGCTGTAAAATGTCAGTACCTCTTTTTGTTTCTTTATGATGACGGAAAACTCTGTGTAAGGGATTCTTGGATTCAATTCACATCCCATCAGTGTGGCACCTTCATAGTCCTTGATATAGCCAACATATTTTGCTTTGGGAACTTTAATGTCTTTAGAGAATCCCTGTGTATAGAAATAATAATAACAGCAAATGCAAACTGGATAAACCAGTGTTGTTTCTAAAAGTAATTATTTTCCAGACTTTTAATTGCTCTAAGGTAGCATCACATAAAAAGCTAACATGATTCTTCCTTGCATTTACAGCACATTCAATGCAGTATCCACCTCGGTGACAATGGCAGACATGATGTAACAGAAGCCCCACAAATTAGGAGGAGAAGTGAAATTGCTTTACATAATGTATTCTGAAAGCTTCTTTAATGCATAAAAATATTTAATCTCTGACGGTGTACACAGGACATCAGTTTAATATTTCATCTGCATAAAGGTGCCTACAATATGTGTCCCTGGTCACAATATGTACAAAACACAACCAACCCCCCCCCCCAACCTACTGTAATTAATGATGGTCCGACTGTAGAAATTGTCAATGACAACAAGTACCTGGGACTGATCATAGACAAAAACCAAACATGGGACAATGATGTGACACTGTATAAAAGAGGCCAACACAGGCTCTTTAGATAGAAGTAAAAGTAGAATTGTTTTAACACTTTTCTATATGCCATTTATTGAAACTGTCTTAACATACTGTCTCACTTGTTAGTTTGGCAACGTCAGTACCGTTAATTGTAATAGGTTGTAATTATTGAAAATAAGTATCAAAAGAACTGGGACAAATCAAAAACTTACAGTGCCTTGCGAAAGTATTCGGCCCCCTTGAACTTTTCAACCTTTTGCCACATTTCAGGCTTCAAACATAAAGATATAAATTTTTTATTTTATGTGAAGAATCACCAACAAGTGGGACACAATTGTGAAGTGGAACGAAATCTATTGGATTTTTGAAACTTTTTTAACTAATAAAAAAATGAAAAGTGGGGCGTGCAAAATTATTCGGCCCCCTTGCGTTAATACTTTGTAGAGCCACCTTTTGCTGCGATTACAGCTGCAAGTCGCTTGGGGTATGTCTCTATCAGTTTTGCACATCGAGAGACTGAAATTCTTGCCCATTCTTCCTTGCAAAACAGCTCGAGCTCAGTGAGGTTGGATGGAGAGCGTTTGTGAACAGCAGTTTTCAGCTCTTTCCACAGATTCTCGATTGGATTCAGGTCTTGACTTTGACTTGGCCATTCAAACACCTGGATACGTTTATTTGTGAATGTTTATTTGCTGTATGTTTGGGATCATTGTCTTGTTGGAAGATAAATCTCCGTCCCAGTTTCAGGTCTTTTGCAGACTCCAACAGGTTTTCATCCAGAATGGTCCTGTATTTGGCTGCATCCATCTTCCCCTCAATTTTAACCATCTTCCCTGTCCCTGCTGAAGAAAAGCAGGCCCAAACCATGATGCTGCCACCACCATGTTTGACAGTGGGGATGGTGTGTTGAGGGTGATGAGCTGTGTTGCTTTTACGCCAAACATATCGTTTTGCATTGTGGCCAAAAAGTTCGATTTTGGTTTCATCTGACCAGAGCACCTTCTTCCACATGTTTGGGGTGTCTCCCAGGTGGCTTGTGGCAAACTTTAGACGGGACTTTTTATGGATATCTTTGAGAAATGGCTTTCTTCTTGCCACTCTTCCATAAAGGCCAGATTTGTGCAGTGTAAGACTGATTGTTGTCCTATGGACAGACTCTCCCACCTCAGCTGTAGTTCTCTGCAGTTCATCCAGAGTGATCATGGGCCTCTTGGCTGCATCTCTGATCAGTCTTCTCCTTGTCTGAGCTGAAAGTTTAGAGGGACGGCCAGGTCTTGGTAGATTTGCAGTGGTCTGATACTCCTTCCATTTCAAGATGATCGCTTGCACAGTGCTCCTTGGGATGTTTGAAGCTTGGGAAATCTTTTTGTATCCAAATTCGGCTTTAAACTTCTCCACAACAGTATTACGGACCTGCCTGGTGTGTTCCTTGGTCTTCATGATGCTCTCTGCGCTTTCAACAGAACCTTGAGACTATCACAGAGCAGGTGCATTTATACAGATACTTGATTACACACAGGTGGATTCTATTTATCACCATCAGTCATTTAGGACAACATTGGATCATTCAGAGATCCTCGCTGAACTTCTGGAGTGAGTTTGCTGCACTGAAAGTAAAGGGGCCGAATAATTTTGCACGCCCCACTTTTCATTTTTTTATTAGTTAAAAAAGTTTCAAAAATCCAATAGATTTCGTTCCACTTCACAATTGTGTCCCACTTGTTGGTGATTCTTCACATAAAATAAAAAAATTATATCTTTATGTTTGAAGCCTGAAATGTGGCAAAAGGTTGAAAAGTTCAAGGGGGCCGAATACTTTCGCAAGGCACTGTACATATCCTCGAGAAACCAAGGTTATAAAGAAGGCCAAAAAACACTAAGTAATGTGTACCTCACCTCCTCCATTGTTAATTTATATTAATCCCAACTGGGAGACACCTCTGTGCCCCCAGATATAAAAGCAAATAGTTGCAGGAAATCTTTCATCCATGCTGTAATCTCTCCCTCAAAGAATTTAAAGGAATCCTCTTATCTCCTAAAACATTATGGTCTTCTCTGTTGGTAATGTTTGTCATACTTTTTTATTGTTGTGTTGGGCTGTGCAGTCAAAAAAAACTTCCCTCAGAGGATAATATTCGAGCACTGCTTCAGAAATCCTGGTCCAGAGGATAGGTGCCACCTACAGGTCCACCAACATGACTGCAGCAGAAACCTGGTTTTCCTTGGAAGTCGCACTACTGTCCAGGACTAGCCTTGCTTAGCTTTTAATATCTGACAAGACCCAGCTGTAAGGCGGTAATGCTGCTACCACTGAAAATCCCTGACCTGATTCTTCCCTCACTGGGATTAATCATTGGTGACTTTGCCAAAATACTAGACCACCAGGGAGCTCCTGGACATCCGTATAAATACAGTTGCATCTATTTTATAAATGCATTCCATATATAAGATCTGAAATGAAAAAGGTATCCATATATCTGTCATACAAAAAGCACTCACTTGCTTTTTGAAGTATCCAATGGCATACTCATCTGCATATGTCAGAAAGTTCAGAATATTATGCTTGATATGGTATTCCTTGAGGTGATTCATTAGGTGGGTTCCATATCCCTAAATAAGATGGACATTTGTGTTAACCATTTTATTAATATTTCAGAATATCTTTACAAAACTGTATATTTTACCTATCTCAGAGTGTTCAGTGTGTTTTGTATTTCATACACTGATCAGAGTACACATTTAAAATACTCAAAAAGATTTAGGCTTTCACTTTGAATACTTAACTTACATAAACACAGTGGCTAGTAAAGAATCAATTACCATAACTGTAACTCACGGAGAAGAAGAATTTCTGAAGCTAAATCTAGCATTTTACAAGCAGCTGTCAGACTTCTCTTTCAGAACACATTTGTCTCGAATGCACCTGGCTGCAGTTCCTTTCAGAGTGATTACAAGGAGAGAGCTGGTGACTGCAGTAGTTATTAATACAATTTGAGGAAGAGGTATCCTCTGTAAGTGTAAAACTGTCAAACACAACAGTCAAGCCCATAAGCAAAATTTAGAAGATATACAATAAATTTTGCCATAGCCTCACTGTTCACACTTACTCGACTGAATCCAGAGGCTATGTTCTCTGCTTCCATATGTAACTATATATAACTAAAGACATTTAGTCCTTACATCAACATTTCCAGCTGCCCACTTCAACATTTACTAGCTGTGCTTGACTGTACATACAAACTAAATCATCATTCCTTACTTTGACTTGTTCATTTGAGGTGACTGCACAGAACACAATCTCAGTAAAGCCTTGTGAGGGAAACATCCTGAAGCATATCCCCCCAATCACACGCCCATCTTTGATCAGTGCCAGAGTTTTGTGTTTCCTGTAAAAAAAAATAAATTTGACGTTACAACATACTCTAGTCTAAAGTAACATAGCAGAATTAAATAGATTGTGCTACAGTTACGGTTGCCTTTTTCTAATCTTCAGTCACATATTCTTGTTTTCATTTTCTATTCCTTTTTTACCCTTTGTTAGACTAGTTTGTTTTATACGATTGTTAGGGCTTTTTGTCTATAGTAGCATAGTAATTTAGCATTTTACCAGCACGGCTATGGCACAAATTAAGCCCAAAGTACAGCGGGTGTGTCTATCTGAGTGCTAAGCGGTTAAACTCGGCTGCTTTGTAGGTCAGGTAGAACTGCAATTGAGTCCCTCCCATATGAAACTACAGCTTTGCTCATCAACTAGAGCGGGAGAGGAAAAATAAAAGAAGAAATAAACTTACGGGTCGAAGACCAGTCGTGTAATGTACTCTTTGGGCATTCTGGGAAGTTGATGGGAAAACACATTTTGCAGGCCAACAAGCCAGATCATGATTTTTTTATTTGGCTTCTGGTTTAAGGAATTTCCAATAACGTGAAATTCAATCACACCCCGCCGCTCTTCCAGCCTGGCAGTTTCATCTCTTGCTGAGTGTGCAGAAAGAAAACTGGTCTGTATCGCAAACACAAACAAAACAATTGTTCAGTAATATGCATATGTTACACACGCTCTGAATCCATACCCACTGTTCCGGTTCTCCAAAGAACAGACCTATTGTTAGCGGGACAAGCATTCCCTTTCTATAAAACCTTCACAGAATGGAAATTTGAATAGTAATCTTCTGCGTGCAAATTATAAAGTAAGATCAGTTAATTTTCTGACGATTGTAACCCACATTATATTTCTGTATTGTGTGTATTTAGTGTTATTTAAGCAACAATCCTTTCTTTTCCATTTTCTAGTTGATATCATCTTTAAATATTCTTACTGCTGTGGTGCTATTTTTTATCTTCACAATATAGAAGCACTGGTTCTGACACAAGGGATAATGTAGTGAACATAACTGCTGCATCAACAAAGTCTATGAAGTATGTCTTGTTTATACAAGTTTGGATAAAGGAGATGAGGCAGTTATAAAAAAAATCTAGATTACTGCAATGTTGAGACATATAAAAATAAATACTACTATTATTTCTAATTAAAGTTCTAATTAGGTTTTTTAACTTTTTGATCAATTAATTTTTTTTTAGAAAAGCAGTCTATTCTTAATTTAAAAAGTATATACAACGTATTGGAAAAGTGAACATTTCTGCAATGAGGGCAATTTTTCAATTCTGCCCACCTCTTGTCCCAGCACGGAAGATGGATCTGTGATGGTGGACATCACTTCATTGATCAGTTCTATAGGAATATCTCCCATGACTCTCGGTCTCTTTGTTTCTTCAGGAGCAAAAGGCTCTATCGATTTGCGTTTTTCACCTGGTGAAGCACACCAAAGGAAAACGCAATGACCAATGTGCAAAATCCAAATCCACAGGACAAATGCTTGGAATGACACTGTCATGACGGTACCTAGTTCTGGATCTAGAGCAGATGTCACTCTGCAGGCACGGCTTAAATTCCCACCGTTTGCTGAGTCAAGGGGTGCAGGGTTAACACTGTAAGAAAAGGATCTGGCCACAGGAGGAGCACTGATCACTACATTAAATTGAGAGAAAATTATTTAACTACACAGAATGTGACAAAAACAACAGAAAGCAAGAAAACAACACACAAATTGCAAATAAATATCACAAGATATTGCCATAGGCTTGGTAATTTACTTAGTCTGAAAAATTCTAGGAACAAAATATTAAAAAAAACGAGACTGTTAACAAAAGAAATGGCAACATTTAAAAATGAGTAGTAAATATTTTATTTTCAAATCCACAAGAAAATTAGCAACTCTACAGTATCTCCTACAGATTTTTCACTCTGAAACACCATACATTTTCATATACAGATTCATTTTTTGTAGTATTTTTATACAAAATATGCAGTCACTAATATTGAAGATTTACTTCAAATGCACTATTGCTTGTAACTACCATGCAATAGCATGTAGATGAAGGAATACATACACATTTAAATGAGTTATGCATAACAAACAGGTTTTTCAGGCACATTTGACATTTCTGTCTGTGCATGTCAACAGAGTAGTCAGATCTGTCAGTTTCACTCATAAAGTGCTTGCTAATGTGGCATCTCTTAAAAACCACACAAAACCTGGCACATTTCTCTTCTAAAACATTTTCAACAATTGTAAAAGATCTCAAACTGTACCACTAAAAATTGCTATGTTGCAAACCATAGGTCTGTTAATAAATGCATTTAGGGAAAATAATATGCACAGTGATAAATAGTGATAAATTTGCTTTGTATAAGAGTATAAAAACAGCTTCAAAACCATTAACTAAGTGATCCAAGCATCTCATCATGCCTGATCACTGCTGTGCAGTCTGTTTCATGATCTCACATACTGTTGTGTCCTTCTTTAGGAATCCACAAAAAAAAAAAGGAATTTACCTGTCTGAATTCCTAACTGGCCGGTTGTAGATGAACATGCCATAAAATCTTCATTCCAGATAGGAGAATGGTGGCTATAAACCTCTTCTTCAAGCATAGACAAAAATCTAGGGAAAAACAGTTTTTTTTTCCACTCATTAGCTCATTCTTTTATGTTAATGTACATTTATAAAAAATAATGTTATGGCTCTGTTATTATACGATGCATACAGAAAAGGTAGAAAATGAACAGGTCAATTCCAACAGACCATGTAACATGGATATTACACTTGCCAGCAATTAATGAGGATGCTCAATTTCTAGTCATGTATGTAAATTACAACGGAAAGGGACTTACAATACACTGTACAATAAAGTTTATCCCCCAGACAATATCAGTAGCAATAGGTCAGACTGAGGAGAACAAGGCCTCCAGTGTCTACAGAAAGCTGAACGAGAAGAAGGAGGAAGCTAAGAAAGCAGAATTGTAATAATAGTCAGAACCACATTAGCTGGGTGGGGGAAAATTGTTAGTAACTCATGAAGTAATGATATTGTTTATTCACTGTGATCATACTTGAACCAGCCAAAAACACTGATTTATAGTACTTATGAGTGCAAAGAATACAATGATAGGCTGCCAAATTATTGTCTATCCACTTGACTTATATGCAGCAGATTGGAGTAATATCTCTTTCTGCATGGCAAAAATATATATATATGTTTATAATCCCGTATAACAGCTGCATATCATCAGAAATCGAATTTGGGCAGTTTCTTGTGGCACTTACACAAATCACATTTTTAACCTGTATACAGTAGTAGTACAAGCACCTAAGGAAGCTCTGATCATGTGATTGATACACTCTTACTTTGGAAAGTGTGTGAGGATTAGTGTTCGTTTCTCAGGAGGGAGCTTATCTTTCTCCTGGCGGGCTTGTTCCAGCAGTTGCCTTCGCATTACAGTGAAGACTGATCGAAGGAGAGTCCTTCCAAATATCTGTGTGGTCTCATACCGAGGGAGACTGTCACAGAACTGGGGGACGTTGCAGTAGCAGAGCCACCTGCAATGTGAAAGCAATTTAAAAAGCTTTGGTCTAGATTTTGAATCACTGGTCATTACAAGCTGCGGTGGCAATGTCTATCTACAATTCTGTACCAAAATCATAGTATTTTCATTTTCCACTCTAATGCTTAAAGAAATGAAAACTGTGTTCAATACTACTACACCTTTAAGAAAAAGAACCTAATTTCCTTTCAAAGAGATTACTCTTTCTTTTGTAAATATGTTTCAAGTATTCCAGGTGATTATTATTGTCTTGCTGGTAACATGAAATGTGAACACATCCCGTAGTTGGTTTTAGTGGTTTTAGTGTGGTGGAGTACAATTAGGTGGTACCATGCTTCAGACAATATATATTATCAATTTTCAGAAATTTCCTAAAACCACTTGAGAATATACAGCCTTAAATCTGCATAGAACTTCCCCCATGCTCAACTGTTCTCTTTATAGGCTAAAGCTGCTTGTTTCCACATGTAGTATTTAACAGCTGAAATAATGATGTCATTCCAAAGCCCCCTTTGACCACTGTAATCATTTTTTGTTAAATTTCTGTGTTCCTGTGAATGTTTTGCCTTTAGTTCTTATCATTCTTTCTTAATTTAGAAAGATGTAAAGTCTTAAAGGTATTCTCGTTGTTCCACATCCCTGAAGTCTTAATTTCAAAATGGACGTATAGTTGATGTTGAACAACACCTGAGGCTTCTGCCAGCTTCTGTAAACTTGTTGATTATGCTTTGGATACCACACTTTGAATATGAAGTGATGAAAACTATTTCAACGTTTTCTCTTCTTTATGTATAAATACAAATCAAATCTCCTATTTAAGTTTTAGCTTGTTCTATCCCAACAGGTGATCCTGATGGATCTGCAGGTTGTAGTATGAAAAGAAACCTTTTAGCTCTACTAGTGAGAAGAGAGTAGAAAATGATGTTAATGATGAGAAACAATTGAAAATGTGTATGTTAGATATCAATGGTTGAGCTACTACAATACTTTTCATTGTCTGTCAATGTTGTCTACTTTAATTTGTTGTGATCAAAGATTTTTGAATATTTTGATCAATGTGAATTAAAGATTGTTAAACAAGATTGGTTTCTTCTTATCCAAATTAAGCTTTCTTAATGAGTTAAAGCTGTTATAAATATCAGAAAGCACCAGTAAATGCTTTAAGTAAAATGCATCTCTTGACTGTAAACTTCATAATTCATTCCATTGCTGCAAGCATTAGTTACATCATCAATAAAGATAAGCGGACCAGTTCGAGAGACAGCTATCACTCATATGATTATAGTTTTAGAAGGCACTATATTTTAAAGTTCCAATACAAACAGCAACACACTACCAACACTACTACCAACTTTTCTTCCTGCAGCAGAACGTCCAAGCCAATACCCCAGTATTATGAGCAGGGACTCTGAGCTACAGGGAGTGGCATCTTCATATGATGTAGAATAAAATTCCTTGAAACATTTTGCCTGTTTGTTTTTACTCAAATAAGACTCATATGATGAAAATCAAATAAGCCTGCTACACTCTTCACCTCATATCTGGCTGTATTGAAATGATTTATTGAAAACTGATATAGAAGTGCAATCTACAGTTAGGTTTCCTATTAGAAAGCCAAAAAACATTATTAGTATGTTGAACTGAGCACCAGCTGTTCAAAGAAGACATTTCTCATTAAGCAGCTTAACTGCAGAAAGAAATGTTATATTATTAAGTACTAAAGTCTCCATTTCTATACATTTAATCTAAGTAACTTTCAACACTAGGGAATTTACTATTTATATTACAATTATATTTCATGGTGTTGTGGATATTGTGAGATAACCTTTTTTTTTAAAAAAAAAACAAAGCATAGGAAATCCTGCTATATATCTCTCAAGAGAAATGAAATAAACTAACTTCTTATTCACAAAATGAGGAATCAAACTCTAATTTAAAATGTGACACTGGTGTTACAGAAAACTGTGAGCATTCATGTGTGTGGTTTAAATAATTTTTATGAACTAGATTAAATAAGCCTTAGCTAAGAACTACATTTTCATGTTCAAGTATGTATACTTCATTGTAACATAAGCATATAGCAGAAACACTGGGTGTCTATTTATTACCTGGTATAGTTCACTTTGTAACCCACTGCATCATCAACGGGTGACCGTTGTCTCCTCTGAGAGGGCGTCTCCAGCTGCCAGTAGTTGATCTGATTTAGAAACATCTTGGCCAGTTCAACAATTGTCTGCCTTTCTTTCGAAGGAAGGTGGCTGAACTTGTACTGTACAAAGTTATTTACTCCCTTTTATAGAAAGAAAAACAGTTACATATTGTCAACAGTATGTAAAAATAAAACGTCTCCATATGAGATCAACAAAACATTCTATTAAATGTTAAAAATACAGCTTACAATGCATAAAAGAGTACATGAGCTGACACAAAGCAAGCAATGTAATAGTGTGGCAACAGTTAATGGTAACTCAAGAACTTCAATGAATAAACATGAAAGGTAAGAAAATATGAAAGATTAAAAAAACACTTACCTGTTCAATGCTTGGTTTTTGAAACGGAGGGCTTTCTAGGGCTCCCTCCACCACAGGCTTACCCATCTGCAAAATACATTTTCTCAGAAGCTAGAAAGAAAATGAATACAACAGGTCATACGTTGATCACTGCAAAAGGATATATCAATAATTATTCCTTCCCACAGCAGAACGTACTTTGAACAGGGAAAAGTAAACTTGTTTAGTATCTGCATCCTCTTCCTTATGTACGCAGGTGAAGAGATACTCCACATCTAGTGCAATTCCCAACAACCGGTTCATTTCCTCCTCTGACACATTTTCCAAGTGGGAAACATGATCAGCTGAAAAAAGAAAACACACAATAAATACTATATTTATTCAAAAAGTTTAATCAATACAGAACAAATTAAAAGCAGGCCATCTGTCTCAGCTTTCACAATCAGTTGTTGTTAGTTTACTAATCCATGAAGAGCCTCACTAAAAGAGTTTTTCGCAAAAGATCAAATTTTCCTCAATAAACCGTATTGTGCTTTACCAAGGTATCCACCCATTTACAGAGTCTCCACATTGTGTTGCTGCCTGTGCCTGCAATCATGACACTTTCCAAAGAACTTTATAATTAGCATTTAGGCAAACTCCAAACAATAGCCACAAAATGCTGATATTATGTAAACAATTTTTTTTAAATGTGATGATTTTCAATTGTGTAAGCAATTCAGTCCCTTTGCTACTGTACCCTAAATCAGTTCAGATGCAAAATAATCATTTGAAAGGTCACAAATGTAGTCACAAATGGTTTAACTTGGTAAATGGGTCTGTCTCTGATTCCTTCATATATTGAATTTCAAGCTAGATATGACAAATCCACCATGGAGATCTAGGAGCTTTCAAAATAAATAGGGGATAAAATTGTTAAAAAGCACAGATCTAGTTACCCTTACAACAAAAGGGTACTTTTCCTACAGTGAAAATCATCATTAAGAAGTGGAATTGCATTTTTTCCAGCGAGACAAGTAGGAAACCTGTCAGGGATGCCACTATAAACCAACACTGACTTTGAAATCAATGACAGGTGTAAAATTCTACATCTGGGCTGGGAGTCAAAACTCATACCTAAACAATATCTCAGTTCATACACAAAGTGACCTGTATGGTTGATTGGCAAGACAGAAGGGCTTACTGAACAATACTCAGCCTAAATCTCATGTGAGATACTGCAGAAATGACAAGAAGATGAGTCAGACGAGACACAACTTTAAATTTGTGGGGTAAATGCATGATATCCGGCACAAGTCCAACACTGCGCATCACAAAGTCAGCACCATGCCTACAGTCAAACATGGTGGTAGCAACATCATGTTATGGAGTTACTCATCTGCAGTGTTCAGGAAAACCTTGTTAGGACTGACACAAAGAACAGGCAAATCCTAAAAGAAAACCTGCTTGAGTCACCCAGGATTTTAAAATGGGGTCACAGATCCACATTTAAGCAGAACAATAACTAACATCAAGGCCTGAATGGTCTGACAAGAACAGAGTGGATGTCCTTGAGCACGTTTGTCAGGATTATGACTTGAAGCCAATAGAAAATTAATGGCAAAGCCTTACAGTTGCAGACCAACAACAAATGTGTCAGGAATCAAAAACTTTAAAAAGAAAGAACTGGAAGACATTACACAATGTGTACAGCTGGCCGAGACCTATCCAAAACGACTCTCAGCAGTTACTGCTGCCAAAGGTGTTTACCGCAAGTAATGACTCAGGGGGATGAATGCAAGCAGTCAATTACACTTTGTATATCTTCTTAGCAACTTTTCCCCAACATTCAGCCTTCTTCATATATAACAGCGTTCAGCTTTGTCATTTCATTTTTTAATTAAATCGTTAATCTGAAAACAAAATAGATTACTTATAATTAATCATAATGTGACATTTTTGGCAGGGGTTGATCTTTTTGCAAGATATTGTACAAGAATTGTCTTTTATCTTACATGATTTTGTAAATGAAGTATCTCCTATTCCAACCTTGGATTCTACTTGCACTTAATACGCATTTAAAGTATGTCTTTTGGTTCTCAGTTCATTGTGTCAAGTGCATAAAAGTGACATTTTCAGTCTCTCTAAGGTTTGGACACAGATAAAACAACTGTGTCGGAAACGTGGACATGGAAGCCTACAGACCTGACGTGAGATAGGCTGGCCGAAGACCCTGCCATGGGGAAAATAACATGATTTCACTTACATAACTTTTAGTGCTAAGCACTCATGTCTGAAACTTTGTTTCATTTTGGAATGTTCCTGAGTTCATGTGCCATACGATGAGCAGAAGCATTTTGTTTTCTTTCATGTGACTAATAGTAAAGAATAGTGGAACTGTAAAGTGATTTTTATTTTTAAAAATAAACTTTTAGAGAAATACCTGCACCACCACTCCGTAATCATTGCTCATTGGGAATTTCTAAATGGCTACCTCACCCTTCTCCATCTCAGGGAGTATTTTCTTACTGGCTCTGTATAGTGGAAATATTCATACTGTGTTAGGACCTCTTTCAATATTTTTCTCTTAATCTACCCCCTTTCAAAACAGGACATAATAAAACAGAGGTTGAAAAGCTTCTCAGCAGAGTCCACTGAAGTTCTATTTTATACCTCTGGCAAATCCTATTTTTTTATACTATGACATGTTAACACAACAAAACAGTATGAATGCTACTCCTACAAAAAAGAAAAGGATATAGAAAAAAGACACAGGAAGTGAAAGAGGTTTTACATTAAACTTCATGTCCAACTATAGAACACCTAAAGCATTCTACACCTGTGTCTTTAAAAAAATTCAAACTATCCAACACTCCCTTGGGTAATTCTTTACAAGTCCTACAATTGCTTACCCAGTAAGTGACCGCAACTGCGGCAGGGCTCAGTGAGGCTGACAGTTATCTGCTGCAAATCCACCCGGGGAGGAGTTGGGGGTGGATTTTGGCTCTTCCATCCATTACATTTACAGGACTCTTCAGCCTGCAATATACAGGAATGGGCACTTCATGAATAGCTGGACTAGAAAATACAAATGGATGACTTTGTTCTTAAATGCCATGTATTTCTCCCGAGCTATTGATCTGAATCTTTTTTTTTCCCCATTTGTAGTTGCATACAAATAAAACGTTTGTGTTATTTTAAACCATTGTGGCAAATGAAAGCTATAATACACACAGATCTCAGCTTGGCTCCAGATAAATCAATATTTTGAATATAAAGGAATCTAAGGGGTGCTGGGAAATGAAATTAATTATTTAAGTACTCTTCCCCGGAGGGCCATTTTGTCTTCTGGTCTGTGCTTCAGGCAAGTTCTTAGGCAAATTGATTTTAATTTCAGGCGTACTTTTCAATTTTCTCTCAGCTCTTAAAAAAGATTTTTAATGTTCGTAATATCAAACCTGCACCAATACCTACATCTCAGAACTCATTCATTATGTTAGCTGATATGTAACTTAAGTAGAAGGCAAAAACAGTCATTGTGAAAATGTTTAATTCAATGTGATGGCCACCTGTGTCTGTTTCTCATGAATTGACCATGTTTATTAGTTGAAAGAAAGAAAATCATAATGAGAGAGCGGAAAAGAGACTACTCTAATAACCTTTAATGTATTCATACAGTTTAACTAGGGCTTTGACACACCTGGGTCGAAAATGTCTAAAGATGCCAGGAGCTCAGGTACAGGCACCAGTTAGCACTGGTGATTACATTGAGGGCCAGCTGAAATGAAAACCAGCAGATGTTATTGTCCCCTCAGAACAGCACCGGGAACAACTGATCTAAAAGACAAGGATTGCCTATGGTGGTCTTGAAAGACCACATACCTGTACGTGTTGGTTTTTGTTGTTGCCAAGCTCTCGGTTACAAGATTAAACCCTTAATTTACTTAATAATTAGAATAATTTGAAGTGTTTGACTGTTTTCAGCTCTTAAACATGTTAAAGGATGCCTTTTAACTACTGCATTTTGTAAGCAAATAAAGATTTTAGTTTAGGTAACTAAGCTTGACTGGAATGAAAACCGGTAGGTGTGTGGTCGTGGTCCTGCAAACCCACGATCTGAAGCAGGAGTACTCGACATTGGCATTTCCATCCAATTCCTTTTCTCCAGCGAATTCTGATTTATCAAGATACTCTTCAGAACCTGGACTAGAAAATCAAATAGCAACTCAGGAATTAATTTATTGAAAGGTTTAAAGTCTCACAATAGCATGGAATTGAAGTGACAGAGTTAATTATCCCCGGCCTAAGAGCTAAACTTGTTTTTGTTCTGTGTCAATCGGCTTAATTTCAGTTTTTAAACACTTGCAAACTGACACAACGAAGGAGTCTACTTGTCAGAAGAGAATAAAATTTAAGCAAGAGGAACTTTTATAATGGCAAGGTTTCTTCTTGTTTAGCACTGAATTTGTGTAATGTTACAGAAATATAATAAAATAGTTCAGTGTTATACTAATACTATGCTAGTCTATGCAGTACAAAACGGACTAACAGCCTTAGCTTACATCTAAAAAAAAATAATAATACATGAATCACAGCTAAGAGCAGAAAATAACAGAGAAGAAAAAAAAGGAAATTGTTCTGAAAGAAAAGTTAAGTTTTGGTGTCATCGGTGCAGCAGAAAGTTATTGCAATGCTGCATGTGACCACTAGTGATATCAAAACAAGCTCTTCTGCAAGCCCGAGCTCTGTGTGTAGTACAACTCAAGACGTTTTTTGCTGCCACAGCTATTCGCAGCAAACGTGCACTGAGGAACAAAACCAAACTCCGCCTACCAGCAGCTGTCATACTGTCAAAACAAAGAGGCTGGTTCTGAGCAAAGACGACGATTATCAAAAAATAAGTTACACGTTTCACAACAAGCAACAATTCCATTAACGTATATAGACAACTGATTCCATATTATCCGAGAAAACATTGCAACATTTACTGCCCATTACTCGAAATACGGAATATTTGACACCGAGCCAAGTGTGTTTACGTCCACTTTTTCCCCTCCAAACAATGAGTGCAGACCATTATTTAGTGATTTTACGATGTACAGTACACCCATACTGTACTTTTTCATTACCTGCAGGTACAATTTCTAACAGAAACGAGTCACATTTCCTCATTGTTTAAATATGCAACTTTCTTGAGGAAAATCCCTACGCTGTGGTTGCACTCTACAGAAGCGCATCAGATTGGAACTGTTAGATCTGACCTATGTACCTTGCAAGAGGAATAGACTCCGAGTTTCTCCAGCTTCTTCGGCCGCGGAGCGGAGCGAAGCTGCGCCTTCTTCACGGCGATACCAGCAGATCCCGCAGCAGCGCCCGAACACTCCGTCCCTCCTCCCCCGGGAGCAGCAGGGGCCAAGCCCGCCGCCCCCACAGCTGGGGAGCCCTGCTGCAGCCCGCTGCTCTCCGACATCCTAAATAGCGAGCCCGAAACGGACTCCCCAAGCCGCTGGATGTGTATCTCTCTATTCCACAACTGTAGGATCAGACATGGCGCTCATCCCTATTTTTTGTCATTGTAATCTCCGCATGCCCTCACTAGGGGGAGACAAAATTGGCATCCTGCAAATATTTAAAGAGGTCACAGACATGCAGCCTGTTGTGGCAATAATTTCAAGGTCAAATGGATTACGTCAAGCAGAGTAATGGAGATCAGTTACCTAATTTGAAACTCTCTAACCACTACAGAAAGTGAGCATAGTATTTCTGAGAATGCTCACTGGGTATTTAATATATGTATACAAATCATACCACTGAAACTGTCAGCACTAATGATATTCATGCCTGTCAGCATTGGCATTGCTCCTGGGTGTTTAATCAGTCATATGAGATCCTTCATCTCTTAAAGGTCAAAGTAAAGGGATTCACAAATTATTTTATTATTTTGGTAACTTACATTATTAATTGCAGGTCTAAAGGACAATTTAATTTAATTATTTAACCAGCTAAGTCACTTCAAAACTTTTTTATTTCCTATTGATCCAATTCATTTCCACTGAGCTGTAGAGGATCCATTTATACATCAGGGCATCTACAGGAACAATTTAAGTACCTTGCTCAAGATTACAACAGCAGCTTCCCACCAAAGATTTAAACCTACAACCTCTCCATCTGGAGTTTGAGACCCTAAGCACTATTACACACTTGTGCCCAATAAGGTGGAAGTGCATTCAAATATTTCAAAGCAATTACATTTTGTTGAGTAACCGGCTTGCTTTGTTTTCAATGAGATGAAAGAATAATAGTTGACTCATTACTATTTAAAGAAGCCATACAGTTTATGTAAAAGGCCACACAATTTGTTTTTTGTCCATGACAAATGACTTGCTATTTGAGATTTATTTGACACATGTTCAGGCTGCATTTCATGTTTCACATTTGTAATGTAATTTGGTTCTCTGCAGAACACAGTGATGAAGGATGTTTTGTGGATACCAAAACAGCAAAATTATTTGGACAAACCCAGTACTTTTGAAGCTTTGAATAAATAAACCATCCTACAAACTTTTTTAAAAGAAAATAATTGCATTAAAACTTATTTGCTTTAAGTATGCAAAGAAAATTACCAAGCCCTGTGAATTGAAGTACATTTAAATACATTCTTTAGCACATAAACTATGAAAGTGAAAATCAAACTACTAAATTATTGAAAAAGAACACTGAAGCTTAACATGGAAAAGGGATTTACCTACTGTAATTGCATATTCATGATTCAAGCTGGGGCCTACCCTTAATTTTCTGGTCACAGTAACTTTAGTTTCCAAGGTCACAGTTTCCATGGTACAATTTGTAAACAGCTTATGTTGCCTCAACTTTAAGGTAAAGCCTGGCTGAAATATTTCACAGCTCTCTTCATGGAAACCGATTTAAAGCTAAGGTATGTCATTTCTTGATTTTATTTAGTTGGAGATTGTTGGTGGAGGGCTTAATGTTCACTGCTAAGAGTGTAAGCCACCTAGAGAGATAATGTATAAAAACACTGTTCGACAAAATACAACTTCTATAGTGATCTGAAAAAGTAAAAAGCTGTCAATAATGTACCATTTTGTACCAATCCCTAGCATACATCACTCGCAGGACCAGAGCAGATCATTTGATGAAGATAAACACATTCTAAAAGAAGGTACTTCTAATAAGACAAAAGAAGGTATACCTGTAGCTGTGGAAAAAAATCACGAGTTAACTTTTAAAGCTCATGTCACTTTTTCAAATAAAAATGTAAAGCAAGCCTGTACGACAGAAGATTCCACTGACGCAATTAACTGCAAACACAAAACGGGATGTTGTGTGACTACATTCAAAGTAAATCATCCTGTAATTAAAGCTGTAGCATCATGTGAAGATAAAAACGCTGTATGGAAACAAGAAATGGAAGACATGTCTATATTCATTGAGCGCTATGGAAGTGATAAAGGTGCATACTTCATAATAGGCCTTTGTGACGGGTTTCATGGTAGATATGCAGCTGATATAACTTCTAAAGAACTCCCAGTCATTGTTCTTGAACAACTTTCAAAATGTTTATCAACATATTCCTTAACTGGAGAGGATATTAACTTATTGGAAAGCTTTGAAACAATATTTCAAGAAGACTGCAAAAGCAATGCAGATCAAATACCACCTTTTTCATATTTGCAAGTGGAAGACTTGAGTCATGACGAAAGAGTGCATATGGCCTTTGCCAAGGCTTTTCGCAAAATGGACCGGATTCTAGGCTTGGGTCGAAATGAAACTTCTAAGATTCGGTGGAGTGGATGTACAGCCTTAATTTGCTTAATTGAAGGCCCAATGCAAGACAGAAAAAATGCAGAACTGCACCAAGCAGGAGGCTGCAAAAACAGAAATCCATTTACATCACAAGATCAAAAAAATACTATGGGAAAAATACACATTGCCAATTGTGGTAAGTATATTTTTCATGTTATGCAATTGATAGGCTTTTAATGACCATTAACCCGGCCTCTGACATACTATGCCAATATTAAGTACAGCAATTAACACAACATCAAGTAATTTGCTATGGCTTGTTGCGGGTTGAAAAATTCCATGACAGAACAGACGATACAGTAAATTTCCTTTTAATATAAATAACCAGTGAGAATTCAAAGAAGAAAAAAAAGCAAATGTTTTAGCTTTAAACATGGGCAGTGTGGCGAATTCAAACAATTGTAGAGAATTCCATTATCTTACCTATAGTAACGCTAATTGCTAACACTTAAATAGCGCTTTTCTGGACACTCAACTTAAAGCACTTTACACGTAATGGGGACTCTCCTCCTCCACCGCCAATGTGCAGCATCCACCTGGATTCGCCGGTACGCTCACCATACATCAGCTCTCAGTGGGGAGTAGAAAAGAGCGATGAAGCCAATTCATAGATGGGGATTATTAGGAAGCCATACTTGGTAAAGGCCGATGGGAAATTTGGCCAGGACAACAGGGTTACACCCCTGCTCTTTTCAAGAGAGGGATTTTTAATGACCACAAAGAGTCAGGACTTCGGTTTTACGTCTCATCTGAAGGAGGGCACCTTTTTACAGTTTAGTGTCCCCATCACTATACTGGGGCACTAGGGCCCACACAGGCTACAGGCTGAGCGCCCTACTGACCCCAGTAACACCACTTCCAGCAGCAATCTTTTAGTTTTTCCCAGGGGGTCTCTCATCCAGGTACTGACCAGGCTCTCACCTGCTTACCTTCAGTGGGTTGCCAGTTGTAAGCTGTAGGGCGATATGGCCTTACTTCTTACAGGATCATAGGGCAAGAGGTCAAGCTAGGGTTTCAACTGCGTGTATAAAGCCCTTTAAATTGTAGTGAGTAGTACAATAAACCTTCAGACTTTAGAGTCTGTAAATAGAACACCAAAGGAATTCATAATGCACCCATAGTGCCTGATTAAAATTAACATGGCGTGTACAAGTTTGAATAGCTTTTATGAAAAATTTAATGAAGTTTGTGATGTTAGGCAACACACATGCAGTTTTGTGCAAGAATGGGAAAGGACATCGGCTGACAAAAGACCACAGTACTTCCAACCCAAAGGAAAGAAGACGTGTTCTGAAAGCTGGCGGGAAAATAAGTGTAAACAAGCAGCACGGACTTGTAGAAGGTCTGATGAGTGCAACCCGTGGGCTTGGTCATCACGGGGACCTGCAACTGAAGAAGTCAGTCATTCCTGTGCCATATTCTGTATCTTTACCAATAGATGACACTTTTCAGGCAATGATTTTAGCTACAAGTGGGATTTGGGATGTCTTGGATGAAGATGATGTTGCAGCAATTGCCATGGGTTTTTCTTCTCTAGCGGAAACACCTTGCAACCCAAACCAAGACAGAGAAAGGACACCAAATCAGGCACAACTCGAGAACAAAACAGATGAAAGTGGGACTTTGGGCAAAGAAACACAAGACTGCTTCCAAACAGAAAAACCCTCAAATTGTGTAAGGACTAAAACTGAAAAGCATTTCAAAACCAAGACAGACTATGAAAACTTGGCAGTTTCCATTAGTAAAAAAATTGTTGAAACAGCAGTAAATTCAGGGGCAAAGGAAAACTTATCAGTGATAACAGTACTTCTGCCTGGATTAGATGTATAAAAAATGTATAAAAAGGCTTATAATATTCAACACCACTGCAATAAAATGATGTATGGCACAAACACTTTCTTCAGTGAATAAACTGTCTGGGACAGATTTGAGACCATTTGAGAACTGTCACTGTTCCATTATTCAATCAGTATAGCATGACCAAATTAATTTTTATTTAGGAATTAAACAATATGGTAAATTGCTTGCATTTAGATGTGAGCTGCATTTAATATTCACAGCAATAAGTATACAATATATCCCTGTTTATTAACTTATTTATTCATAATCTAGTACCTGAACATTAGAACTGATCAGTCCTTAACCATTATTGAGTTACATTATTACATTTCTGTTGTTAAAAATGACTGCCAGCTACTTATCAGTTCAGTTACCCGTCTTGCTTAAGCAGAATTATGATTCCAACATAGCTGATTTCAGTTTCTACTAGGTATAATATCGTATGGGGCATCATTGTCTTACCACTAAAATATTTAGTGCAATGCGAAAGAAATGTTAAAAATATAAACAGAGAAATGAGAAAGTACAAGACAAACCACTAAGGAAATGCAAGTTCATTTTGTTAATAACACTACATACATTTATAAAGATCACCACTGATTATAATTTAACCATTTGTGGAAAAACTCCGAACCCTTAATAGAACCATTTCAGTTACTGTACAGTTTGTATGATTATCTAAACAACTCCCTAGCAAGCATTAGTCCAGTAAGTTGTATACTGAAAAGTAGACTACATTGCAACACCCTATTTACAGTATATTATTTATAACACACCAGCTGTAATAATGACAAGAAGTATCGATGAGCATTGTTAGTGCAAGGCATGACAAACGACTTCAAAAGACCTGCTGAAGTAATTGGTTCTCCTAATATCTTGAGGTGTGCTGAAAACAAATCAAGAATAGTTAGGAAAAATGACAATTTTTTGTTTTCCTTTCAAAGGATAAATCATGTAACCGAAACAAACAGAATTTACCAGACTGGTCAGGTTTGTGTTCACATACAAACTATTAAAACGAACGTAAGCAGACCTTCCTATTCTCTTTTCTCAAAAAGATACACTAGATTTTCATTTACTAAAAATCGACCCACTGGGCAGTTTAAGGGGCCATTGCAATAAAGACTTGCTGCCAGACTGTACTGCAAATTGGTTTGCATATCGCAACAACTGAAAGGAGGAATGCATCATTATTGAGGGTCCTTGCAGAAACTATTCACTGCATAAATACTGTAAATAATTGCACAATGCCACTAGAACAGCTAGAAGCAGACATGGCTCATAAGCCTAGGAGTGGAAAACATGGTTCTAGCGCTACTATATAGTTTCTTGGGAAGCCATGTATACAAAAATGTAAGATCCAAGTCCAACACCGCAGAACTCCATTGGGACCATTACATCAAGGCATCATGAATTGTGCCTACCAAAGCGAAGGGGAACTTATAACCTTCTTTGCCAGACAGGTCCTTTTCAGCTTTAAAGGTAATTTCTTTCTGATTTTGTCGCTGAATAACGTTAAAACTTTAGGTTTAGGCCTTGTAGTGATACATGCATCCATAATTTTGAAGTACATTTTAAAAATAAAAGTTCAAAAAAACATAAAATAAACTTTGTATTAGAAATGCAGCTATACAGAGTCTTTTAGCTATTTGGGGGCATGATGTTTGAACAATTAAGCACCCCTGATTCCTTTGTTATTCAGAGTTAGGAAGTAACTTCTTTGAGATGCAATCTGTAATAACGTTAGTTACTACAGCACTGGCTCTTGCTTTGCTGGGTGGTCTCGGTAAGATCTACTCCTCGGTTTCTTCCACTGTTTGCTCCTGCACTCTGTGGTTCATTTTTGGGCAACCTTTTTGCTGCAAAACAAAACCAGAAACTTCAATATCACAAGGCACTGCTTTTCACTTGTTACAGGAAATTAAACAGCAAAAAAGTAAGGTAAACAAGCACAAAAAACAATTAAACACATTTACTTGTTTCTGAAGCTTTAGAGATATGTTAAAAAAAAAATCAAGTTTTAACAACCAAAAATTAGATATTCTGAGAAAAGGATTATAAAGTGACTCAAAATGTCTTGTTGCTTTTATGCCAATTTTTCCCATTGTTTCTATTTTCTTAAGGGTAAACAAGTACACAGTGTTAAGTGAAGGATCTTTTGTTCATTAAGTCTTGTACAAAGTGCTTGTTAACATTTTCTCTAGAGCAGCACCAAACAGAGTGCACCTGACTTCAACTAATGAGTCAGGTGAAATGGTCAGTGGTTCTCGGAGATAAGGTTCCTAGTTAAGTACAAGACTAAATGTACTTAAATCCCTGCATTACAAATATCGTAAGAAATGTTCTGCAATGTGTTTTAATTGGCATTTTGATCTATTTCCTTATGCTGCTAATACAAGAAATGCTTATTTATCCCATTTACTATTTAACATATTAAAACTTGTAGGATTCTTGGTTTCTGCCACCTGGGTTTACAACCTCATTATAATTTCACAATAGCAACTAAATGTTTACAGATAACAGCAAAGAAATCCTAAAACGAAGAATTTTTTTAAGTTAAATAGAACATAAAACATCCTTATAACCTTTCGAAAAGTTAACATTTCAGATAACTTGAAATGCTGTAGGACTGTGGTATAATAAAATATGTAAAGTACTAAATTGTTCAAATGTAATAATGCAATATAATAAATACATAGGCCACTTCTAATGTTGTATATCAACACTGTGATATGGTCCACACTAGCTGTTATATTTTTTTCCCCATTATGCTTAAATCACATCAGCTGCATAAGAATCTAATTTTTAAGAACACAAATATCTTTGACTCCTGTGTGGTTCCACCCACCATGTGGCTGGTAAGGGCTTCACAGTTGTGACACAAAGTAGATTAACAACTGCTGATTCAAAATGGGTGCAGATTCTAAGAAAAACAACTGTCTTTTCCTAATAAAAATATTAAACAAGATTTACAGCCAATTTCTTAAACTGAACACTCCTTCACAACACACATAAAGGGGTTAGATGAGGTCCCCCACTGCATCTTTAAAAGAATAGTTTACAGATGATTTTTTATCAACTCCAATTCACTCTGTTACAATCTATTCCTTAATCATTTACTTTAAATAGTGAAAGCCATCTATTCAATAACAATAGTAAATATTGTTGGTCACAGTAAAGGGTGTATCAATTTACATTTTAAAGGTAACATTCTATTTTCTTCTTAACATTCTCAACATATTCTGAACAAGCTATGCTGTCTTGGCTTATTTTGTTTTCAAATGGTCTTAATCAATTCTTTAAACATACCTATTGCCATGAATATTTCATTTACATTCATTGAAGTCTTTGCTGATGTTTCCATGAACAGCAGGCTGTTGTCATCTGCATATGACTGTGCATCCTATAAAACAAGTCCAAATAACTAATGATATAAGGTAGAATTCTGCATTACTGCAGCACTGAAAAGAATAAAGCAGACACTATTGTTAGCTAACAGCAGTATTTATTCAATTTCAGAACCATTATATTGCACTCTCACAAAAAGTAATGTCATGTTTGATTATTTTTATGCAGATGACATCAACAGCATGTCTAAACTGAGGAATATTAGGTAGGAAAGGACTCTGCTGATATTTTAGGTTTTAGCGGAAAATGAAAACAGTCCTACTCTGATAAGAGAGCAGCATTATGATTTGACCCTAGAACAATAACAAGGAATTCTGGATGTGTTACTAAGAATAGGTATGCATGTCATTTATTTTTTTATAGTGATTACTTAAAAGAGTTATTTTAAATATCACATCCATTAAAGCTGTGACAATACCAGAGATGCAGGGAAATGGCAAAGCTTTGCAAAACAGCTCTGAACTGACATGAATAGGGAATATGTGGGAAAAGAAAAACTAAAATCTCCAGGTAATGCTTTTCAGTATGTAGTGTCTCATCCTTAATCTTTTTATAAATTAAAGAATGGCTTAATAAACACAATAAATTGTTTGTTGAGTACACTAAATATTTGTTTTCCAACTAGTCTGGTTACATTTACAAGTTCGAGCGAACACATGCTAATGTTCTGACTACTGTCTGTTTTTTTCACATAAATTCAAAATAAATAAAAAATAATTCGGATCCACTGAAATTCCATCAAGGCGAATCAAACCTTAAAGTGAATTGATGGAAAAAATGATACTTGTACCAAATAAGCCCTATTTTTATTTTGAAGCATTAGTATAAATGAAACTTGAGCAAATACAACTGTAGAAAAAAATTAACACATCAATATCTTATGTGCAAAATGTGTCTAAAAAGTACACATGCAGATTAAGACAAATTTTACTTCACATCTTAGAATCAAATGATAAAACAAGAAAAATACTCTTAAAACTCAACCATACCTGGAAGTCAACTGCTCTCTTGTTAGCAAGATCAGCTTTGTTGCCAGCCAGTGCTATTACAATATTAGGACTTGCTTGTCTTTGAAGCTCTTTTACCCAGTTTTTTGCTCGTGCAAATGACTCCTGAAAATAATAAAAGTACAAAGTTTGAAACATTCTGAATCATTATTTTACTGAGAAAAATGTGGTGAAGCTGTTGCTGAATCACGGAAGCCCAGACTCGGTCAAAAACATCTGATTATTACACGCGAGAACACAAATAATAATAGTCTTGCTGAAGTTCATTAGTCCAGAGGGCAAACTGCTTGTCAAAGTGGAAGAAAACAGCTTTAAGAGGTAAGTTCGCCACTGTTATGAAAGCTTTTAAATTTAAATAACTTATTACATAATGGACACTCTTTTATGAATCCAAGATTGGTGTACTGTAGTTTCTGATTCCCAAAGATTAATTCTTGAGGGGTGCACCTAAATTAATATAAGTGATAAGTTTCTTTACCATCTAATGTGAAAGCAATCCTAAAATTGCTGCAGGATTTACACCAATCACCAAGATTCCACAAAAGATTAGAATTTTTTAAATCGTGCTAAAATTCTATTTATTTCATCATTTTGCACTGTTTTTCACACTTACTTCATTTGTAATGTCATATACAACTATAGCAGCCTGTGCGCCTCTGTAGTACATTGGTGCTAAACTGTGGTAACGCTCTTGTCCAGCAGTGTCCCAGATTTCAAACTTCACTGTTGTGTCATCCAGACACACAGTCTGCGTCAGGAAAGCAGCTACAGTTAAAAGGATAAACACACAAGAAAAAGCAATGATGACATGTTTTGTACAGATAATCACAGCATGCATTTACTATCTTAAAGGAAGAGTGAACTCCTAGATTCTTTTAACTCCAACGGCCACAACAGAGCACATTAAGAACAAAAGAATGGTTACAAGGGACAGATGGTCATTCAGCGTATCTAGCCCGTTTGATAGTTAGTAGCCAAAGGATCCAAGAATCTCTTCCAACAGTTTCTTGAACCAGGGATTTAACTTCAAAACATACCAGAGTAACATCCACTACCAACCACAAATAAATCAAGAACTCAAACAGACATCCTATTAATTAAAAAAAAACAGCTTCGGTTCAGATTCACTGAAGTACCTTTTCTCTACTTACCTCCTATTGTACTCTCTTGAAACTCATGAAACTGCCCTTTCACAAAGCGCAGCACTAAACTGGACTTCCCCACAGCAGACTCTCCAAGAAGCACTAGCTTAAACTGGCAAATCTTATTGCCGGCATTTGGTCCATTGGGTCTTGTTGCACCTCCTCGACTTGCCATGACCTAAACACCAGTCTCCTGCTCTGGACTCTTGTTTGACCACTGTCCTCCTTGTCTTCTCGGTTATAAAACTGTGAATAAAGACATGACAACAATAAAATCCAGGGACGATAAAGGCATGATAAGCAGTGAAGAACTCTGACATGTCCTTGTCTCTACTGTATGAATCTGGCTGCTACAGTTAAAGGATGTTTTCAACTTCAAACATTACCAGCAATTCTGAAGATTCTTGAGAAAATTAAGTCTACAGTTGGGGTATGTAATGTTTGCACTTCTATCCCGTGTCTTCACTCCAGCAAACCCTTAAAGAAATGTTTTATTTGCTAAAAACTAATGTAATCTAACCTTCATTTTTGCTTACTTTTCAGCATATTAAGTCTGTACCATCTCTTGTGAATCCCTGATAATGTTATAAACAATATACAATATTATTCTGTTGCATAGGACTTGAATAGTGAACATATGAAGTATTACAGACATTAATTTCTGAAATTATTACATAATTAACACAGATCCTAAATCACCTTTATTTTTAAACATTAATGTTGATTCTATATACTGAATACATCAGCCTTAAAGAACCGTAGACATGCAGTTACTGGGCTATACAATCGCTTATATTTTATAGATTTCTAGTGTTATTCAGATTAAAGCCTATAACATTCTATAAATTAAAGGACATGATTTAGGTAATGAAAAGGTCATTTCTGGATAAGACAAAATTAAGGAACTGACATCAAACTGTAGTAAGCTGAATTCTTGCAACATTTCTGTAAAACAAAAATCAGATGCACATTGAAATAGCATGGCTATAATTTAATTAGGTCAACAAAAGTGCATTAATTAAAACATAAGCAACATTATAATAGCACTTAAAACAAAGACCAAACAAATTATCATGGAGAACTATTTACTAATCTGAAAATCAACAGATCAATATTGCCATTACCGTTACAAACACAGCATCCGCTTTCAAAGCACATTTTTCGTATTTAAACATAACATATAGACACCACTTCATGAAACTATTCAGAAAACCATGAAAGATATAAATGCAATAATGAAGTCTACCCTCGGGAGACCAAAACACGGTATAAACCCAACTCTGATTTATTCTGGGAACGGAAAAGCGACTTGCTTCCATGGTACAGTATTTGAGTGTTGGTGTCCTCTGCACCTTGGTTTGGTTTTCCTGGTTAAGATGAATGTGCATTACAGAAATTATTTTATTATCCTCTATTCGGGGACTTATGAATTTACAATCGCCTGGACTAGGATAGCGACAGCAAGTAAATAAGACATAGGTTAGGCCTGTGACGTTTGAAGTCACTGTCTGTGTACACAGCTGTAAGAAAACAGACGCACCCTTGTTAAGCAGGTGATCACTTTTTGAAGAAACTGATATCCACGTTATGTACCTTATAAACTATTAAAATGCTATTTAGAAAACAACACTAACAGAAGCAACGCATCATGTTGTCGAAGGTAATGATACAGATACACCGCAAAAACGGTGTTGGATGCTTACTTCCAATTATTAGCAAACTACACAGAATATCTGATCATGTCAAGGCAATCGAAGTCTGCCAACGTGTTACGTCTAATGGAAAAAAATGTGATTATATTGAGATTACTTTCCATAATTTATACATGCTGTTTGAGTGGAATACCCCAGTATCACGCCGAGAAATAAAACTCTTCCGGTACAAACTATGTATCCAGTTCTAACGCTCTGCTACGTCGGGTGACTCTCGACAAAAATAAAGGCTTAAAGAAGCAAAATCAGATGAGTTTAAAAATGTATTGTTTTCCAACCCCTTTCGTTTTGTTTCTTAAAATGCAGAAGGAAGACGCCATTTTGGATAACACTAGTTTGGGAAAATCAAATATACATTTCCTCTTCTGCAATCAATTAATCAAGATTTAATTGCGTATTAAAAATAGAAGGTGACATTACCTTACACCTCTACATATAATGATTAAAAATCCATAAACAATACAAACCGCAAATTCTTGTTAACAATTTAGGAAAACTAACAAAAAGGCTCTTCCCCAGACCTAGGGCCTGTTTGTGTTCCCCACTATCAACGAACACCGATGATTCAACAACTTGATCACTTTACCTGATGGACAGAAGAATATGTATTTTCACGACCTTCCAACACAGGGGGCTTGTACAGAAATGTTTAAAATACAGTTTCTTGAAGCTGTAAAAATACGTATATTTTCACCGGACCAGATCACGTCTCCTCCTTTCTTTTTTTCTCGCAACTTCCCCCTTTAGAACCAAAACACACACACGAGCACTTCCGCCCCTCACCTTACGTCACACAAGCGCATCCGCCCCTCATCCGCCACGTCACATAGCAGTTCTGCAAGGCTTTGCAATGCAATTAGTGTTAGTTAATTAGTGTTGTTCGGTTTCTACTACGGCAGTCACCTATAAAGTACTCAAAGCATTCACGTGTGAGGTTGCAAAGCCCAGTGTTTTTTTTTTCAAAAAATCTGCAGAATAAAACACGGTTCTTGTTATTAATTGCGATTTTGTGCTTTTAATTTGTTTCGTGTTTCTTTTCTACGGTATTTGGCATCATATCCCAAAGAAAACCATACAGAAAACCTCTTGAAAGATCCTGCATGTTTCAATTATGAATCCTTGAAGGAATCGAGTTTTCAACCTGTAGCATCTTAATGGGCTGTACTATTGTGTAATTCAAAAATTATCCCTTCTAAAGCCTTCATATTTTGGAGGGAAATATCTAAAAGTGCCTAGTTTACCTCTCACTGTGCCATGTGAGCTTTGACGTTTTGTCATGTACTACATACATAATGGAAGCAGCACAGTCGCTGCTGATGTGTAGCAGCTGTCTCCTAGCACCTGTTGCCTAGCTGCGCACCATAAACATTATGTGAAATGTATCATGATCCCAGTACTTGAACAATGCAGTGCTAGCCACTGACTTGTGCAGGAGTGTGATATGAGAAATATCTTTATGTAGCGCTTGAAGACAAACCGCTTTTCGATGTAGTACAACGTTCAATTTTCTTATACTACAAAGAGGAAAAATGTTGGAACGTGAGGCTATATATGCTGCGAAATATAAGGACAGATTTCCAAGTATTAAATCGGTAATGTTTTATTTATTTATTTCATCGTGTAATATTTTAGCTTGCAAAATACTTCATGACCAGCCAGAATTAGAAACCAGAATATCTCTGTGTTCCTTGTAGTACAAATACATCTAGTTATGGTGGATTTAAGGTGGATTGAAAACCGTTTTGATTAAATCATCTAATTTCTAATTTGTCATGTGTATTTATGTGTAGACGTGATATGAGTATTTGTATAAGATTTTTTTTTTTATGGAACCTACACTGATTTTGTGCGCTGATTTCTCTCGTAGGCAGGAAAGTTAATACCAACAGGCGAAAGAGCAGAAACATGTCTTAAGGAAATTACTCCCAGGGTAAGTTTTGTTTTCTTAATTCGCAGCCAGTTTGGGCTACTGGTGCCTAATAGTAGTTAATTGATAAAAGAAGCCTGAGGTATGAGTATCGGGAACATGACTGTATGTTCCAGGAACCCAAACACTTTGAAGAAAAAAATATCCCCCGTTTTCAGATTTCCCCCATGGATTCCGCTTGTATCCTTGGCTTGTGTAGGATGGTCGATTCTGATGAGATCAACTGTATTGCCTTTATCAAAAATACAATTTCTTAGACTGTCCTTGTATGAATATTATTGAAGCCTGGGGACTATCTGATCACTCTTCCTTTTAAGGGTGGAAGAATAATTATATTTTTGTATGTCGCACAGTGACGACAGTTGTGCACCGTTCTAAATTAAACCTTACTGTACTGTATTGCACTTTTTAAATGTAATGTTCCTTGGTTTAAATTCATTTAAACTTTAACTATATTTGTCTTGCAACTGTGTTTTAGTGCATCTCCATATTGTCTACAGGAGGAAATTATTAAGAAAGTAAAAAAAGTTAAAAATGAGAGGATGCCATTTAATAATAAATAATAATAATTGCTTACACTTATATAGCGCTTTTCTGGACACTCCACTCAAAGCGCTTTACAGGTAATGGGGACTCCTCTCCACCACCAACGTGCAGCATCCACCTTGATGATGCGACGGGAGCCATAGTGCGCCAGAACGCTCACCACACATCAGATATCAGTGGGGATGAGAGCAGAGTAATGTACCCAATTCATAGAGGGGGATTATTAGGAGGCCATGATTGGTAAGGGCCAATGGGAAATTTGGCCAGGATGCCGGGGTTACGCCCCTACTCTTTTCGAGAAGCGCCCTGGGATTTTTAATGACCACAGAGAGTCAGGACCTCGGTTTTACGTCTCATCCAAAGGACGGCACCTGTTTACAGTATAGTGTCCCCGTCACTATACTGGAACATTAGGACCCACATGGACTGCAGGGTGAGCGCCCCCTGGTGGTCCCACTAACACCTCTTCCAGCAGCAAACTCAGTTTTTCCCGGGAAAATACATCCAGGTACTGACCAGGCACACACCTACTTAGCTTCAGTGGGTTGCCAGTTGTGAGTTGCAGGGTGATATGGCTGCTGGCCATTCTAGCTTATTTGGTAGTTAGTAGTTAATGAATCCAAGGATTTTGTCCAGCCATTTCTTGTTTTATGCTCTCACTACCCTTTGGGATCCACTGAGTTGACCTTGTCAATAACATAGAAGATTTTAAATATATACAGTATATCAGGTCTCCTCATAATCTTCCCTGTTTAAGACTAAAATGTTGAGTTCCTTCAGCCAGTCAGTATAGGACATTCCAATAAGCCAAGGAATTCACTATATTCTGGACTGATTCTAGATCAGCAATATATTTACATGATGATCACAATTATACACAATGTTCTAATTGGGTCCTTATTAGTGCATTATACAATATTCCTTGAAATTCCTTTAAATCCTATGCTTTTAACTATGCATCCTCGCGTTTTGTTTATTTCTTAATTGCTTCCCCACATTATCTGGTGCTGTATTTATAATTGCTTACCCACCTTCATATAATTTGATGCAGTTTATGTTTCTGCAGTTCTTTGTGGATTCTTGTTCCTAGACAGCTGGTGCCTATCCCATTTACTGTTTGAGACTACACAGTTTAATCGGACATGTTTCTACAGCCGGCATCTGCTATGGAATGTCTTCCAAGGGCACAAAAAAGCAGAAGCCTTCTTTTGCACTCCATGTCCTTACCTATGGGAGAATTAACTTTTAACTGTAGCTATATAGAAATATATTTAATATATTAATATTTTATATATTTAACTATATGATAGTAATATTTAATATTACTATATAGCAAAGTAACTGTATAACAATGTTATTTTGTATATGTGTATGGGTACATGTACTGTACACACATATATATATATACTATATATATAGTGTACTGTCTCTTGCCAGGAATTATAAAAGCTTTAAATAAAGTCCTCATCCTGCATTTGTGATTATTATTTATACTTGTATCAATTCATATATATGTATATACTGTATGTTGGGTATGATGTGTGATTGATTTTTTTATTGCCTTTGACATTAATGAAAACATTTTCAAAAAGAAGGCATTTATGTGACCTTGAATTTTATTAGATATGCATGATCTCATTAGTATCTATGAAGTGTTAGTAATATTCTTACCTTTATTTGCAGCCTGTTACTCCTCCAGTAGTTAAGAAGTTTCTGAACACAACACGACCAGATCCAGGGGCTGTCAGAGTGTTCTATGGGAAAGCCGGTGATCCAGATGTAGCTAGTAGTCTTGTGCATGGTGTGAGCACAAGGCCCTCTTTAACTGTAAGTCTGTAGGCATATATAATCATAGTTTCTCAGAAACAAAACAATTTATTCAGAACCTTTATTGCATTATAGTCTAATGTACTGTTTTTGTGTTTTGTTGTGATTTTACATCTCCACTTACCATTAATACTGTAAATGCTCACAAAAAAGATATAATTTCTTTCAAATTTGTCATACTCTTCCTTGTTTCTAAGGTGGACTATCATATCCTTGTAATACTTAATCCTGATTGATATACAGTAGTTTTGAACATTTGTTAGTGTGCTGTCATCTTGGAATAATTCTTTTCTTTAAGGATTTCTTGATCAATAACAATCATGATTTCATTACATTTAACATTCTCATGCTCAGGTGCAACAGTTTTTCAGCATTTCAATTTAAGAATGAAGTATTGCTCAAATTCTTAATCTCTTTTTAGGATCTGTTTTTTTCTAAGTTTAACTAACTTTCTGTTTTTATTCCGTTAACTGTATAGCTATTTAATTTGTCTCTTCCCAACTTGTTCTGATGATTTTCTGCACTGTTATGACGATGTTGACGATGATTATTAACTTGACGGTAGTATGCTGGCTTGGTGGTTAGCACTGCAACCACCTTACAGCTCTAAATGTCTTCAGCCCAATTACCTCATGGAATTCTGGGTGAAGTGAGAAGGCTTACCCTGTGTTCACTTAGTGTGACGCTGGTGAGGGATGTCCCTTTGTTGGATACAGTATGTTTAAGCAATGAGTGGCAAACAATGTCTGTCGGATCCAAAAGCAAAACAGCAAAATTTTGTGTGTATGCAATTCCCGCTCCTCAAAATGGAACGACGGATAATAGAAAACAAATATTTTCTTCAGGTGAAGCATCATTCCCAGCTAATTCGATTAGCTCTGTAAGGTTGGTCCTCCTACTAAAAACACTAACAGTGATTAAAAAGTGATTCATTTCTGCTACATTTGTGCTGTTCCAATCAGTATTTGTACTGCTTTGGTTTCTGAGATATTAAGTGTTCTTTTTTAGGAAGTGACATCACTCAGCTGCTCTACAACAACATCCACTTGTGTTCTGTGGATTCATTCAAACCTCCATTTATACTGGAATTAAACTAAAATCCAAGAGCTGTGAGACAGCAGCACTAACTGATAAATCACTGTGCCTCTCATTGAATGGATATTATTATTATTACAGGCGGCATTATTGACTAATCCATCTCCAAAGACACTTTTTCAACAAAAGTTACAAGAGCTACGTGAAGCTGCTTATTCAAGCCATCAGAAAGCCCCACTTGGAAGAACATGTAATCAACCATTGGGGTTACCAAATGGGATGGACATTGAAAAAACTACATTTGGTTCAAAGACTTTACAAAGTAAGAAAAAAAGCCAGCTTTGTTATTTGTGTTGTTGAATTAAGATTAAACAACTTTAAACTACATTAGTAACAGAGAAAACTAAAAGAAAAAATATCTTCATAACTCTATAGAGCAAAAAATATTTCAGAGAACTAATTCTTTGTGCTAAAGCAATATCCATACTTTGATTTTTTTTAACATTTGAGTTTATCTGAAGATGTTTTGCTCATGAAGTGAGCATCCTACATCATCACAATAAGAAATGTGAAATTAAGCATAAGTACAAATGACAAAAATAATAAATAATACAAATGTCCTATCTGTCAATTTTAGGTGTGAATGCAGGAGAGATTATTCATCCACCCAAGAGTCATGAACAAGTAGAGAAAGAACTTCAGGAAGGACACCACTTGTACATCAGATCACACAATGCTTACTTTGTTGGTATGAAGAACTCCATTTCTAACTGATACTGGATTTAAAATAGCATTTTCCACCCATTCATCCAGCCATTTCTATCCACTTTATCCAATTTAGGGTTGCAAGGGAGCCAGAGCTTTTTCCAGCAAGCAATAGGTGCAAGGCGGGATTGGGTTGGATTGCAATTTTTCAAATCCATCGCATAGCACACACAGATGCATACAATGTCACGCACACACTTATACCAGGGCTAAGTGTACCAGAAGCCAGTTAACTTACAGTATGTCTTTTCCTCTGTGGGAGGAAACTGGAACACTCAGGAAGAACATACAAACTCGACACAGATACAGTAGCACATCAGGTCCAGAACTAATCCTAGGGCTCCCGCACTGTGAGGTAGCACTGCTGAACACTGCGCCACACTGCTGCCATCATTATAGCATTTTTTCCTAGTGAATTTTTTTCTCGTTTGTGGACCTAATTTGCTTATTCATGTGAAACATACTGTACTGTCTACTCAAACATACAGCTTTTCAAGTAAAGTGTGACTCATTGGCTGCTATCACATTGAGACAGCTTTTCATCAACGTCTGTAGTTTATTATAATGTTCCACCTTTGTAGTCTTTATTTTTTATCTTCTGAGAAACCATTACATTTAAAAATCTGCCAATTCTGAAAAAGGTGAACAGCATTTTATTCAGCAAGATCCCAAACCTTTGGCCACATCAGTCCCTCTATAACATATTTTACATGTGACACTTATCAACTGAGTTCAATTCATATTTAGTCCTTCGGATGACCAATTGATCATGTGTATGGGGTTAAACCTTTATTTTTCAGTTGTTGCATGTGCCTTCCTAACAATATTACTTTCCTCAGTTAGGAGATGGTCGAATAAGTCAATTATAAACAGTAATTAACAGTAATTAACAACAATTTAATTATCAGCATTTAACAGCAGTTAACAATAATTACAACCATGATAAAAAAAAGTTTCTATACCACAGTGGACAATTAATAAATGTTGCTAAACTATGTTCTAGTGAAGATGCAAGGACTGCTAATTGTTTTTTAAAGGGGGGAGTGTCTGTAAAATAAACTCTGAAAATGCAGCACAGTATAGATGAGAAAATCTATATTTTGATGGATACAGGGATTACAGTGACAGATGATTGTTGAGAAGTTAATTATCTTCAATTAAAAATATTTTCTTTTTCCAGGAGAACCAGTGAATAGGAAATATGATTGGACAAAATATAGTAAAAGCAGTCGATTTGGAATTGCAACTCCACATTATAACGATGGCAGAAATGTTGCAAAATCTCTTCAGTGGCTGCATCATCTGCAGATGTAAGCTCCTTACACCATTTGGTACATAGTACTTATATTTACATCTGGAAATACGATTGTCTCATATTTTTACAGTGTTTTAGCAATACCTGTATTTCAGGAATTGTAAAAAAAACAAATTGCAAACCAAAGACAAAGTCTCAGTTAAAAGAAACATGGCTATTTGATTAAAGAAATGTAGCTGTATGAGGTTCCTTATTGAATAAATTTCCTTCTCTTAATGTCTGAGGAGTTTTATATCAAGTCACACCCTTATTATTAATATTTTCATAATGTAGGCATCGCAGTTTGCCTCTTGGACACACTGTGCTGACAGAGAGAGGGGCAGAAAGGCAACTCCTGCTCCTCTTGTGGTACAGGGGCAGAGTTTCTTGCGGTCCCACGTCCTCGACCACAAGCTCCTTGTTCAGTCTAGCCTGCAGCTGCCAGTTCACTGCCCTGCCCTTGACGCACGCACACCACAGCTGCTGACCCTCAGTCCCACATCTCCATACTGTGTCAGACACACTGTGTTGTCAGAGAACCAGGAGCAGACAGGCAATCCCTGTCTTCCTCTTCTGGTATGGGGGCATGGGTTACCTTCTGTCTTATCTCCTGCCCTCTGATCCTTCTGTTACAGGTTCCTGACTCCCCGGGCATCCCTGAGGTCTAATTGCCACCATGCGTTTACTCAGTACTAATTACCATACCAATTACTGCTAGAGAGACAAAAGCTAGATGGACCCTCCAACACTCTTCACTTACAGAGCCACGGTCCTTTCAGCCACACCCTGCTCCCTAGACTTCACATGCTGCCAGAAAGCCATCACTAGATAGACCCTCTGCCACTCTTTGTGTACAGAATTGGGGTCCTTCCAGCCTCTCATCCCTCAAACTCCCTCTCAGGGAGGAGAGAGTTTTCCACTGGCAGATCCCAAAGGAGAAAGTGATCTTCCTTTTTTCTCTGTGGCCTGTACAGGAGAAGGAATGCAATGTGGTCTTTGTCTGAGGAGGAATAGGCAGGCCGTATAAGTAAAATCGCTAACTCGCTCCATCTGGGGGCTCTTAAAGGCACACAGGCTGATGGCCTGTCACAATCACGTAAGGGAAACTCTTCACACAGCCCATTATTTCAACTGAAATAATGAATAGATTAAATTCATCTGCATCTCACCGCGGTATACAGAACCCATGTAAAATCATGCAAACGGTTACAGGTATAATGACATGACGTGGGGTCTGTACTGTATATATCACAGGCCTTCAGTTATGACAAAAAAGATCATCAGATGATGAGCAGCAGCCTGGTCTCCCAAACTGTTTTTACATTGATTACAATTTAAATAAGCTACTGATCAAAGTACAACATTCTTTCAACTTTTAGCAGTCATTCTTGAAAAATATTACTCTTAATATTACTCAAAAATTTACTTTTGTTTTTAAAGTCCAAGGGTATCATGTCATGATACTCCCTTTCCCTTTCAGGGAGAGGGGTGCAAAACTGGTAACAAAACAAAGTGATGATTTCCGCGAAAGAACTCAGCCACAGATTGGCAAGGTGCATGATCCGTAAGTTGGGTACAGAATATATTTTTGTAACTTACAGTATCAATGGTTCTGGTTTATAGACAATTTTTTTTTTGCTTATGTTTATTTGAATGTTCAAAGCAGTCATAGACCGGATGAATCCGACTCCAAATATGTATTGTAAACATTACAATTACATTTAAATAATATTATTAAAAATTACGTTCACATTTAGGTTCTTCATGAGTTCTGACTGCTACTTTTGCTTTGTCTTCCAAGCTCAGGAATTTACCGTATTACACAGGGAAGTGAAGAGAGAACATTGCCCTGTTTTTTTCAACTCTGGATCGTCATCCAAGTCACTTTAATATGGCAATTTTGTTCCAGTCTTTAAAAAAAAAATCAGTATTGTTTTTTTTTTTTTTCTACCATAATTTTTCATTATTTGCTCATATCGTAAAAGGATAGTTGCAGCGCAGTTTGGATTAGTGCTAGACTTGTAGTTTGGGAAAAGATATTGCAGTTGTGCACTCATATTATTGTCTGCCTCCTGTGATTGGTGTTTTCATTTGAATATAAAAAGACTTGTTTGTGAGAAGTAACACAAGTACAGTACATTCAGTATAGAACCCTTTAAACGTTCCTTCTTCCACAGGTTTCTTTTGGCATCTTTTATAATTTTGAAATAAAGTCACTTAACATCTACTAAAACTTAATTGTGCTGTTAACATTACATTAACTGATGTTTTCCCTTGTGTCCCTAATACATATAGTAGTTTGTCAAAAGCCATTATGGCCACCATGGTGAAGTCATTTTAGATAGTTCCAAATCTAAAAAAAAAATCATATTTATATGAAACTATTGGAAGTAAATAAACTTCACAGAATATGTAATTTAAAAAATACTGTAATCTTTAATTCTGTGAGGTGTTAAAAGAAAACTATTAAAAATATTATATTATGTACTGTACCTTTACATTTTTTTATAAACGCAAACAAAAATCATTTACTTTGATTTTTCTTCTCACTGTCTGAAAAGGTGTTTTTTGTAACTTTGAAAGAATATGAATCTTATTATCTTATGTGATGAGGCTCCAGTCGAAAGTACACAACCTTTCAACCTTAAATGTGAAACTGCTAAGTTTATACAAAGCCATGTGGAATATACATACAAATCGATTCTATAATTTTAGCATGTATAAGTGAAATTTTACAATTCATGCAATGCTTTATTCATTTTTTTTATTCTACAGAAAAAAGAACTGAAATTTTATGTCACTGCAAAATCTAAAAAGGTAGTATCTTTTGACTTGTTTTAGAATTGCAGACACAATGAATGTCCCACTCAACCACACTTATGGTATCATGGTGCGTCCTGATGAATTTGGTAAGTATGGTGTTTAAAAAGTGAAATTTAAAACACTTAATTCTTCTATTGTTCTTTTATTTTTTATTTCATAGGAATATCACTGCCACAAGGAAATATATGAATGACTGGAACACTTAAAACTTGCTGTGCATGGAAGTAAACCATGTATCAAAATGTGATGAACTTATGGCTTTAAAACATGAAACAAGGACAAGTTATTTAATAAGGTTTTGAGGTTTTAATACATAATAATATAATTAGACCTTAATAATATTTCTTACTGGTTGTATGTAAATATAATTACACTGAGGCCCAGTAGAGGGAGCTCTATGATTTTTTTTTAAATAATCTGGAAATTAAACCAACTCGCGTTGAAATCACTGAGTTATTTAGTCTATTTTAAGATGGACATTTTGAGTAGTACGTGTGCTGTTAAAAGCTTTTTAAGTTTTGTTTCAGTTTATCATACTTAGCAGGATGTGAATTATGTGTGAATTAAATCAAGAATCAGAATTTGTAATTGCTAGTCTTTGGAATCAGTCCTTTATTTAACAATTGATCTTCATATGTTCTATGGTACAATGTGGTTGTTTTATGGTAAACTGTGGTATACTAAAATATCTGTCTACAGACTTCAATAATCTCAGTGCCAGGTCATAAAATAATGCAATTTTGTATATACATTATGCAAAATGAGGCAGTGAATCTCTAGCTGCTTTGCTGGCTTGGCGTAATTACCTTTGGTGCTACTGAAGTAGTAGCTGGTGCTCCTCCTTCTGCGCCATAATTTCCTAACCAACCAGGCGACACTGTGCCGCAGGAGGTGGTGTCTTTAATAACATGGTAAAGACTTAGTCAGCACTGCTAATAGGAATAAGCATGTTCATTGAGTTTTCACTTTGTGAAGAAATTTCATATTTCTTCAACTGATATACTGTATGGGCTACAGGTGTAAAATGGTGTATATGTAAACCACTTCTGCGATCCTTCTAATAATAATAATAATAATAATAATAATAATAATAATAATAATAATAATAATAATAATGTTATTATTATTATATAATAAGGATCATTATAACAATAATAATGACAGCAACAATAATAATAATTAATTTCAATAATTATTTCAATTGGATAATAATAGAAAATTTAATGTTTCCAGTCTTCTTACTCTCCTCGAAATATTTTGTTTGCCTGTTTTTAATCTGTTCCATGTTTTATTGATGCAAGATTATATAATCCCAAGAACAAATGTTTTATTTATAGTTTTTTACAGCCTCCAGAGTTGCATTTTTCTTTTAATGTACTTAGTAAAATGCCACTCAACATTTCCTTGTGTAACAAATATGCAAATGATATCAATTTGTTTATGATATATACAATTATCAAATAAAAAAATGTTAAACAGTCAATATAAATACAATAATCTTTCAAGTAGTTTTCCGAATAATGAGAAGTCTGTGGATGAACAAACATGTCTATTTACACAACTGTCCATTCACTGATAATTAAAACTCTAGAAAGAAATGAATAATGAAAGCTATAGTGTTTCTTTCAAACAAATCATAGACATAAAATAAGAAAAGCCAGTCTATACTCAAAATGTTATTTTTGAAGAGCTTCATCTGTAGCCTAATCTAAAACGACCTAATTTCAAATAGAGAATTCCAAGAATAATCTTTGTTTCAGGTGTAGGATACCTTCTGCATCACACTGCGTCTCTTGACTTCCTGCGTGGTAAAGACAGAAAGATTGCCATTCTGAATGCTGTCCGCCAACACCTCAAAAAAGCCAACTTCCACAATTTCAGTTCTCTTCTTGAAGCATTCAGACACTATGATAAGGTGACATGTTTTCAATGCCTGTCAATTATTCAGATACTCTTTAGTAGCATGGTAATTTATTTTTGGTATTTTGCTGACCTCTGATGGCTGTTGTAGACACTGCTAAAACTCTTCTGTTATGTCACAGTAGAAAAATATTTTACTCTGATTTGTACTATGGTGAGTGGTTCAAATCCTTATTTTTGTAAATTTAGTTTCAGGTTTGTCAAGTATGCTTGCATTCATTCAAAATAAAAATATAGTATATTAAATATGTTTTGAATATACACTCCCTTTATTAGCTTACTGTACTTTTTACTGCAATATCTGCATGAACCACAGTGCTGTGTTAACAGAGGTTTCCTAATTACACTATCACCAAACATTTTTTTAAAGGTGGCAAACCTATTTTTGCTTAATATTTTTTTATCCAAAGTGGTTATAATAATGGATTTGTCTTATATTGAATGGAAATCCCACTTGCACAGTTTACCAATCTAGCAGGGGCTATAAATGATCTTCCTCTGTTTTATTATTAAATATTAATGATAATACAAGTAATCTTAGATTGTTTTGTGTGAAAATGTGATTTTATGTGAGCAAAGAATAAGTACAATATTTTCTCTTTTTACAAAAAAGAAACCAAATCACTATAAGTAAAAATAAATTGTGAAAATGACTTTTTTCTGTATGTGCAGAAAGGTAATGGAGTTATTTGCAAAGAAGACATTCAAGATGTCTGCAGGCAGTTTAATTTGGACTTACATCCCCAACTGCTAGAAAGTTTAATTGCGTTCTGTGATTATGACAATGATGGACGGATAAACTTCCTTGAGTTTTCCAACTTTCTGAACTGGAAAGACAAGATGCCCATTGGAGAGCTGGAGGAGAAGATACTAACAAAAGGTTTAATAAACTGAAAAAACATTTAAACTAATATGTACATACAAAAGTGATGTAAACACCATGGATATGTAATGTCACTTCTCTATGTGTAATGATTAGAGGTGACCCTCGATCTTCTGAATTGTCTGCTTTAAGTGAAATATAAAAACTAGCAGAATAGTTAACCACTAAACAGCATACACAAATAACTCTCTTTCAATCAGTTATTTTTCATTGTATACACTAAAACATAGTAACTATTTAATCGATTCTGACATAAATATATTAGAACATTAGCAAATAAAGGACCCCCTCTTTATTTTAATGTCCTGTTATAACTCGTCAGTTTGGGCCAACTAAATGAAACCAAGTACCTTTTTCTTGCTCCCCAGATATTAGGTAAAAATTGTTTACATTATAAACCTGATGTTTACTTTTTCTGTTTGTCCCTCTCAGGACGTAATAAGGCAGACAGTGCACCTCCTCATTCACAGAAAACCCTAAAAGAAGGGATCAGAGAAGAAGCTTTGGCAAAAGAGGGAGATTTGGTGCCAGCTGAAGGTGGTATTGTTAAGACTCCCAAAACTCTGCCAAGACCCAAAACGGTTCCAGACAATTATACCACCTCCTCATCGATGGTCAGTGCAGTTGTTGGTGGACTTTCCACAGTCGGTGAGTGGGAGTCTGTTTCTTCTAAATGATACAGGGTTGTTAGCCTTGTGCCCAACCTCCAACATGAAGGACCTGGCACCCCAACATGGGACACGAACCCACTACACTGAGATTATGAGTCTCATGCTCTACTAACAAAGCTAGTCGGAGCCCCGATACAAAAATTATAAAGTCATTTCAAATCATTTAAATCATAAAAAAGGCAAAACAAAGAAATTCAAACATGCCTGAAAAAGTAAGTGAAGTTTTTATGTTTTTGACATTAAATTAATTTATTAATTTCTTGAAGACCATGTATTATTGAAAACCATGTTTTTCAGGATGTTACTGATACTGTAAATGTTATGTTTAGAAAGAGTGAATTATTTTTAAATCTTATGAAGTTTCTTCCTTAACAACTGAGGAAGAACTCTTGTCTGAAACACCATGAAACAATTTATTAATCGTTTAAACATTATGTATAATGTAAAAACTTCCCTCTATTTTTCAGCTTCCTTTCTTTACACTGCAAAATCATTAAGCATCACTTAGAAATTAATGCACTGTTCAAAGTGTAAAACACTCACAACACTTCTTGTTCAATCAACAACAGTCAACAAACACAGTATACAATCTTTTTTATGCATACATATGCAATTATACATTAACGTGCACATATTTCTACTTCTTTTGTCACAAATAAACTCTTTATTTCTTTCAAGTGAGTATTTACCATGATTACAATAAAACTGTTTTTATTCTGTCTAGCAGCACCACTTTGTCTTGAAATTACTTATAAATTTGAGGGTCAAAGAATATTACTTAACAAAAGACTTAGCTAACTATATCAGGCTACCACCAGTTAATGAGAAGTGTTTTAATGTGACTCAATTAGATAAGCTGAATAGAGGTAATAAAGGTGTCAGTTTTGTGAATTTTCTAGACTAGTTGTCTTGAAATAAGGTAAGCATATTCCATTGTCACAATAAAGTATTTCTTTTACTTCTTGTCTCTCCCACAGGCTATCGGGTGTATGGTGTTCCTGCTGTCCGTACCGATCTGGCAGCTCCACGCATTAAGCGTGTTAGTGATAGGACTAACTATGGTGATCAATCCAATGCAGGTGGGCTTATCCATCCATCTCTCTACAGCTTGAAAGGGGTCCACGAAAAGGACTTTTTCATCTCAAGGCCAAAAGAAGAGGTACAGTTCTTTCTAAGAAATATAATCTAAATCTACTCTGAACAAACTGCAGTATGTCCAAAATTCAGCAGCCAGAATCCTGACCAGGTCTAGTGCAAGTGTTCACATTACTCCTATCCTGGAGTCCTTGCACTGGCTTCCGGTCAAATTCAGTGTAGACTTTAAAATCCTCATGCTCACCTATAAGGCTCTGCATGGCTTGGCACCTTAGTACCTGTCTGAACTATTATCGCCCTACTCCCCACCTCGCAACCTTCACTCTTCTAATTCAGCTCTCCTTACTGTCCCCCAAGCCCATCTACATTGTATGGGTGACAGGTCCTTCTCCTGTTATGCCCCCAAGCTCTGGAACTCTCTGCCCAAAGATATCAGAGAGTCACCTTCTTTAAACTCCTTCATATCCAGACTCAAAACCCTCTTCTTCAGAAAAGCCTTTACTTAACTGGTTCCATTCTTCACCCCTCTGCTCTTCTTAGTACCACCATCCACAGTCTCCTCTATATATTGTAATTGTGTTTTATCTTGTGTATTCTTCTTATTTATTGTTATTGTCATCCTGTAAAGCACTTTGAGAAGCCACCTTTAAAGGCGCTATATAAAATAGTTTATTATTATTATAATCAAAAGTGACCATAAATGTATTGTGTAATAGCCATAAAAATGTTTATATAGAGGAGATGAAATGGCCACTCATGTAACCTCACAATCAGTTACACGTACTGAACATAATACAGAACTACAGGTGCAACATGAGGTGAGAATAGTAGTTTTAATCAGGTTCATTTTAAATGTAGAAGCAGGAAAAGCAAATTCTTAATAAACAGCTTTTTTATTATTTTCAGTATCTGACATTTCTGAATAAAATTAATTCCTCTTGTGGTGTTCAGATTGCCTGTATATTTCGGAATGTTGGAATGGACATTTCTGAGGAGACATTTCATGAAGTTTGGAACCTGGCAGCTATGAAACATCCCAGAGGACAAGTCTGCGTGGAGACATTCAGGAATGTCCTAGATGAAATTCAGGCAAAGTAGTGCTAATCAACATTAATTATACAATTATTACACTATTACCTTTCTTTGGCTGTTGTTTTGTCTTTTGACGGCAAATAAAAGTGAGTCTTTTTAAGATTATTTTGTAAAGTGAATTTATTAGACAAAAATGCATTTAGAATTTGCTTTACATTTCATTCACACAATTACTCATGAACAGTTTTCTCATTTTATGCTGTTTTGGGGGTGGATTATTAAGGGTTGTATTAGTGGGGACCAGCGTTGCTGGGGACAATCCCTGCAGTAGACTAGTTTCCAGGGGGTTAGTCATGTGCTCTCTGCTCCAATTAACGGCATGGAGACCAGGCTCTGGCTATATGAACTGATGTGGCTCAGATATGGAAATGTGCTCAATAAAATTCAAATATTTAAAATGCAACCAAGGAAAGTGATAAAAATCAGGTGAGCAAAACATAACAGCTTTATATATAGAAAGACAAACAAGCATGTCAAACTTCAAATTTCTGGTAAGGTTTCAGGCTTCCAATTAATCCATGCTATTCATTTTATAATCTGTATTTTTATTTGTATTTCAGTGAATCTAGCATTTTATATACAAGCTGTTATGTTATGTTAAACTTAACAGTGGGATATAGCTGTTTATTTACCTTTCTCTGTTCTTTTTGAGTATGGTACTTACTGTATCTTCCAATAATCTTCCATTGTGAAATTTAAAGAGAAGCTTTTTTTTCCAGTTTTGAACATCTACCTGTAATCTACATTAATATTTCATATTCTGAAATGAAATTTCAAATAAAATTATTATTTTGTTTCATAACATATAATGAGATTTATTATCACAAAACTAATGCTATACTGAAAGTTCCGTAACAAGCAGTCTTGATCACTAAGACAAGTGAATATGTAATTTATGGTTAACACATGAAAAGTGGAAGCAGACTTAAATACAAAATCACCAGATAAATGTTAGACTTCATTTTCCTTATTTACCAATACAGGTAGAAACAACCTTCCTGGGTCTGCTTGTGGTGGTATATTTTCTACACTGTCAGATGAAGCTCCTTACTTGTAACTGTAGATGATCGGAAAACAATATACAGTGCCTTGCAAAAGGTTTCATTGTCTTCAAATAATACCCAAATACAAACTATGTATATGGGGGTTTCTTATTTTAATCAAGTATAAATAAACTGTTCTGCAAAGTGCAATGCTTTAACTGAAAACAATTTTATAAAAACAAGTTTGGCAGTTGTCTATATGATCAATAGAATGAACAGCTATCAATGATTTTTAGCTCAAGATAATTGGATATTTTATCTTCTTTTAATGACAATTATTACATTTCAAAAACTGCAGGAGGTGCAGATTCTACTGCGACATTGATTTCAAAGCCTCTGATGCAGCTTGTTGTTTACTGGAATTGTTAGAAAAGGTTTAAAGAGAACATTTTTATACATTTTAAGGTATCTGTTAGAGTACATTAATGTGCACCTGTGAAGTAGATGCTTCATATCCCCCTCTCAGTGACAACAGACAGTGCATCATTTTAAACATAGCATTAATATTGTAGGTCAACGGCACAAATGTTGCTGAATCATACTGAAGAATTTTTAGCAGCTCTGTACTGTACATCCCCAAACATAGCCAGTTCTGTATTCTGACATTTCTTTTTAATAATGAGCACATTCAGTTACAGTTGATTATAAAAGTTTAGTAGATGGACAGAGACAGCACCTAAAGATGTATTCCAACAACATATGGTATTTTCTCATGTAAGACATGACTGATTAATTTTAAGAAAAATAAAAATACTTTCAGACAAATCAAAGTAATAAACAGTACTGCATTAAATGTGATGTTTTTTGGTTTGATTTCTGGATTTGAATGTTTGAATTTAATACACCCACTTAAGTAGAGACTAAGTTAATACTCATTCTTGTGTTAGAAAAAAAATCTCATCTTACCAAAGTCTTTGGAATGGCAAATAGAAATATATACAATATTTGAATCTAAAATGTATTTAATTGCTTTAAACTGTAAAATCAATGTACTACTGTACATAATTTAGTTCTGGTGGGTAGCTGCGTCAATGTGGATAGATTGCAAAGGAACAAGTGATAGTTTATTCCATACTGAAAAGAGAAGAAAGAAAACAAAACGTTTCAGCTGTGGAACTTTCTTTGTGTCTGATAATTAAGTACATAGTTTAAATGCAAACAATAAAATGATCTTATGGTCATAATTTTCAGTGTGTCACAACAGTGCTTTTATAGTACAAATGCAATCTGCAGAATTATAAATAATTTAGAACCTCTGAAATTATGTGTGGAGGAACAGTGTTTATTGTACAGTAATTCCATTATCACTATGCACACAAACAAAACAAATTTGTCTGTTATTGTTGCATGTTTTGCATTCAGTAAAATATTTACATTTATGCTCAAATTATTTTTTGTATTTCATAAATCACTTTGGTTTCAAGAATTCTTTCCTGTTTTATGGGAATTCTAAAAAGAGCGTATGGAAAAAGGAAAGAGTGTGAACCTGTCAAATGAAATAATCCAGTTTATTACCACATTCATCATTCTTCAGTATTGTATGCAAACTTTTTTGTCTCACTATTTTCCTCTATATGTTCTGACTAGGAACAAGACAAAAAAATATAAAGATGAATATCACATCCTATGTTTTCTTTTCTAATTCTCCATTCTCTCATATTACTCTGCATATATTAATGTTTGATTCAATTAACTGAAAGTGGAAAATATAGAAACTCACACAAGTATAATAGCAATGTTTTTTTTCCCTGGGCAATTGCATTTTCCCCTGGTTTATGGATGATTGAGCTGTTTCTGTCATAGGCTGCTTGTTCCTCTAGATCATTATCCTGAGTCTAATGTAGTCTATAATACAGCAAGGTCTCTGTGTATTCATTATGGCTGTTGTATAAAAGTATATTAGTTTGATGGAGTTGCTGTAAGTGGCTTTAATTATGATGGATATGTTGTATATTGTAGTTGTATTTATCACCCCTTCTCTTACTTGTTTATCCACTGTATTGAAGATAACTTGAGATACTGTACGTGTTTTTTTACCATTTAGCATTGAAATGCAGTTTCTATAGAACTGACAAGGACATTTAACAGAAATTTTGACCTGTCTGCAGAGTGAGGTGTAAGATACTGTAACGCAACGGGGGCTCAGGTGGGCGCTCTTGCTGCATTAGGTCGGCCCCCCAC